CCGTACGTGAAGTTCATCATGAGCCATATGTTATTCCAGCTTTTGGGGTACCCAAAAAGAACGGCTCGACTCGACTTGTCTTGGACTTCCGCAAGTTCAATTCCTGTGTCCATCCTCAGCCGTTTCTTCCTGTTCATCGGGAGATGTCGCTTGCAGCTTTGCGCCCATTTCACATTGGTTCGGCATTGGATTTGTCTAATGCCTATCTGCAAGTGCGACTTGCTCCGCGTCTGTGGAGAGCAGTTGGATTGGCAGTGGCAGGCCGGTTCTTTGAGTATATGCGTTTGCCCTTTGGTTATTCCAATAGCTCACATGAATTTTTAAGGGCTCTGTGGCCTACTGTCCGGCGGGTGTCCCAACGCATTCACTCTCAGATTCTGTTTTATATGGATGATATCCTTTTACTTTCCCAGTCGGAGTCCCAACATCAGCGGGACTTGGCAATTTTATTAGAGGAGTTGGAGAAAGATGGTTGGCGTGTTAATTGGGACAAGTGCCAGTTTTGCCGGGACCGTTTTGAGTACCTGGGAGTGACCCTAACTTCGTCTGGGCTGGAACCTACTGCTTCTGTGCTGACCCAGTTTGAACAGGCTCCTATGCCGACGACTCAATTGGGTTGGCGCCAGATTCGTGGCTGGCTGAACCACTCTGCTCGCTTTATTTGGCGGGGGCATCTGGTGTTGGCGGCTTTGCGGGAGGTTCAAGCACATCCTTCATTGGCTGGGTGGCGACGTTTTCTTTCTCTATTGCGTCACCATTTTGTTCGATGTGCTATTCCCTCTTCTGCCTCTTCAGGATCCTTCACTGTGATCACTGATGCGAGCAAGCTTGGTTGGGGGGCTGTTTTACTGGCTGGTCAGCGGATTATACGTTGTGCACATGGTTTATGGTCAACCGGTTTTCAGCACCATGTCAGCAATGTGATGGAGTTGGAGGCACTTTGTCGGGCTCTCCGGACTTTTCGGCCCTGGATTTTTGGCGCTCCTGTTCATGCAGTGATGGACAACCAAGCAGCTGTGAGTTTAATAACCCGGCAAACTTGAGTGATTTTCTCAAGCGACGTCTGGATCAGCTTTCTTGGTATGCTCCTCGGATTTCATTTTGCCCAGGGCCATTTAATTACTTGGCAGATTTTTTGTCTCGACAAGGGGCTTGGATTTCTGGATTATCTCATGTTCACGCAGTGGAAGAACCTCGCTCTTTGGTCATTACTCAGGCACAATGGAAGTAGGCCCACGCAGGACATTTCGGAGTGAAGATGACATATCTTCGTTTTCGCCAGATGGGTCTGCGTCCAACGTGGCAGTGGGTAACTGACAAGGTGCGGTCATGCAAGGAGTGCCAGTTATTTCACCGACCACAACCATCTAACCCATTTGGGAGTTGGCATATGCCGGAGAAACCAGGTCAAGTTATTGGCTTGGATTTCATGGGGCCTTTCCCTGAGAGGAAAGTAGGAAAGAAGCGATTTGTTCTTGTCATAGTGGACATGTTGACCAGGCGTGCGGGAGCGTGGGCAGTGACGGGTGCGGGAGGGGCAGACATTGTGAGAGGGCTAAAAAGGTGGGCGCAAATGCATGGGGCACCTTCGATCTTGTGTTCCGATGTGTGCAAGGCAACACAATCCAAGGAGTTGAAGGAGTGGTGCGTACGAGAGGGAGTGACGCAAGAGTACTCACCTCCCTACCACCACGCATCCATTGGATTTGTGGAACGATTCGATCAAACATTGTTGAATCGTTTGAGGCGAATGTGGGCAGAGGAACCCAAGTATTTTGCCAGGATGGTCGAGCAGGCAGTGACTATCTACAACGGCACACCTCTCTCTTCTCCAGAGGAGAGTAAGGAGACCCCTAAGTCTCTTGTGTTTGGATCACCCAACCAGTTGTGGAACAGTTCTCGGGCTGTGTGGAGACAGCTACACGAGTACGCACGACAGCAGCGTGCAAAGGCAAACCACAGGACAAAGAGGCGGCGTATCCAGCGAACATTCAAGGCAGGGGACAAAGTGTGGTTGTGGAACACAAAAGTCGAGACTTTGAAGGACAAGCTCGAACCGTGGTGGAGGGGCCCGGGGCAGTTGATTCGCCCTATAACGAATGCAGTTTGGGAGGTGCTTGGGCCAGAGGGGAAAATCAAGGTTAGGCATACGGACATGCTTAGGCCGTACAGGGATGCAATCTGAGGGACGAAGTTGTTGAAAGAGTGATTGTTTAGCGCAGGGAAGCGTGTGAGGGCGGCGAATATACAACGGATAATTATAAGGTGAATGGTGTTAAATACGGTGTAATTTGTCATTGTGAACATGGTGATAAAACATGGTGAATGTGGGAATAGTGGGTGACTGAATGGGGACATTTCCTGCGAACACTATATAGTTGATGTGGTCGTCTTGTAATGCATCTGCTTGCGGTATCGCTTCCCGTGCCTGAGGAGCGACCGTGTGCGAGCGTGCGTAAGGGCGTACGGTTAGCCCGATAGTGAATATTAGTTTATAAACACACTCGAAATGATCATGATATAAGCAATTGCAAGATTGTATACAATATTCATTCAGCAACAACTGGAACCAAGCAAAGTTGTATTTCAATAGAATCCGGAACGTTGAGATATCCAATCAACTGCAATCTCCTACTATATGAGTCCAGTCTAATCATCAACAGATACTTATGTTGCAACAGTGGTAATCTTGCACAGTGCAGGGAAGGAATGCATGATGGCTGCCCTCCCAACTGACCCCTGGTTTCAGGTATGCCATAAGATGCCATAAGATGCCAGGACAAAGCTCATGCACGAGGTACACGCCTTTGTTCGGGTATCGTTATGTTCCGCACTCTAACAACCTTTACTGGACGTAACCATGTACTGGTTGCAGCTCGTTACGTCCTTGTAGCAAGCCAACACAACACAAATCTCCAACTTGCGATGTGGGGCATGTCCTTTCGAGTTGTAGTCTGGCTTACCAAACGACTTGCCGTCAATCCTTCGCTTCGCACCGCCGTTCCGTAACGAGCCAGGGCGCGATGCGTGGTTTTCCCCGTCGCGCAACCCCTTGGGCAGAGAAGTAACGTGATTCCGCAGGCGATTGGCACACGATGTGGCGATATGATGTCCGTCGGCGCACTCGCGACAGTGCCGCGATGTGACAAGGTTCCCAGCTCGCGGCGCGAGTGGCGTTGACCCTTCCCTCCGACACGGCACGGAGAATCTCACGCGATCATAGGTGTCGTGATGGGCCGTCGACCTCCGCCACGCGCGATCGTACCCGCAATGGGAACCCGCACAACTCCCGTGCGCCACAACCCACCCAGCCAGTCAATCGTTTGCACGGAGTGCGATTCGTGGCACGGCTCACGTTGCGGCGGCTGCCACTCGTCAAACAGCCACGGCCTGTCGTGCCGCAGCAAAATCTGCTGATTGCATCGTTGTGTCCTACATGGACTGACGCTATTCGGTGTCAACTCCTGCGGCGGCCGACCGCTGCCCACGACTCGCCCCAACGACTCCGATGCCCTGCCGGTAAGAGTGCCGGTAAGACGCTGGTAAAACCCCCGCCGACAACCGGGCTGCAGCGCACCGAAGGTCACCTTACGGTCCGCCTCACTTCGGCACTCCAGAGGCAACTCTGGCGCCAGGTGCTAGCCCTTGGCTAGGGCATCGGGTCACCGGCACTGCGATACGGATCCCCGGCTGGCACCCGGCGCCAAGCTCTACCCAGGCGTCTGCTCTTTGGGGCTTTCGACGGGCGAGAGGATTGGCGGACGCCCGTTCCCGAGGGGCAGAAGGCCGCGTAGCTGCGCGCCAACCGAAGAACATCCATCGCGATCGATGATAGGAGATGATCAAAGTGGAAGCCGATCGCGTTGTGCTTTGATGTTTGGGCGGCCGTGCTCACGGCGCCTGAGAGAGCATGAGGACGATGCCCACCACCGCTTCTAGGCTTCACGATGCCGCCCGCCGCTCGCTTTCAAACACCGAATCTGCGGATTTGGTGATGCTCGGCTCTGGCGCGATCACGTGGTGGTGACAGTCTGCCAGAGTTCGAAAGGATGGGCCAAGTCCTAGCGTCGGTGCCGGGTCCGCTGCCTCCGGCTCGCTGAACGACGGAGATCGTCTCCGCAGGGGCGCCGGCCATGAGGATGGCCCGCGTGACAACCCCGCAGGTGCTTACTTTTGCCCAGCCTCTCATCGCGGTGCTGCAAACACGGCTCTGTTCGAAGCCTCCTTGACATATTGCCGAGCCGCAGAAGGTAGCCAACGGGCGGACGCCTGAGCCGTGCAGCCCAGTCTCCGAATGGGCTCGGGGCAGGTCGAACACTGCACCGTGGGACAGTTGTTGCAACGCATTTCAACCCACTATGATACAACATGCCGCCTGGCAGGTCAAAGCTGGTGTTGACTCAGAATGCGAACACACCTCTGCGTGTGTCTGACACGAGGGCAGGTGGCGCCCCACCCGGGTGCGGGCCGGCGCTCGCAGCCCGACGGCAGCGCAGACAGTCCCACGATGTGTCCTGGTGTACATTGCGCTCGCAACACAAATCTACCCTCACGTAAGAAAACTCAGGCCCTCTGATGCTGAAGGCATCAGATGGGCCAATCGCATCGTCCCAATGCCTCATGGGATCTCAGCCGCATCATCCGCGCCAGATGCAGCCATTGCCACTGTACCACGGCAACACCGAAGCAGCCAGGAACCCGTGCGACCGCCGCTGCTGCCCATGCACCAGTCGCCTGGCCGGCCACCCCTTTATTCCTGCCAGAATTGGGCATCCAGCAGTGCCACCTGCGCACACTCGCGCACCATCTGCCTGAACGCACTACAAACGGAACCTACAAAACAGTTGGGCACTGATGTGCCAACCCACCCGTAAAATACAGACACACCAGCACTGACAGGCACATCCAGCACCCCCCCAGCACAGCCCCTCTCAACGAGTGCACTAGCCCAACGTCGCCGCAGCCCACTGCAATAATGGCCCACTGCCGAACCCAGCCACTCATCTGTCCGTGAAGTTCTTTATTGACTCCAGCTTCGACGAAAAATATCGCAGGCCAGGATCAGTGATGCCTGGACAGTTGAAGCAGAAGAGTCTCTTCAGAGACGTCAGGGGCTGGAGGTGGCCTAGACCCCAGTCGGCCAGGCCCCCACAGCAGCTCAAGTCCAGGTGCTCCAGCAAGGACAGCGGCTGCAGGTACCTCAGGCCTGCGTTAGTGATGTTCTCACAGCCGCTCAGCTGCAGGCGTCTCAGTGCCAGCAGCGACCCCAACATTCGCAGCCCCTCGTCAGACACCTGTGGGCACCTGCTCAAGTCCAGATGAGCCAGACTGGCCAACGACTGAATCTCTCGCAGCCCATCATTTGTGATGCGATGGCAATCACGCAGATCAAGGTGCTGGAGGGCCTTAAGGCGCCCCACAGATTCCAACCCTGCGCTGGAAACCCCCGTGCAGCCACCCAGGGACAAGTGCTGGATGTCCGACAGGCCGCTGAGCAGCGCCAGCCCCGAGTCTGTCAGATTCGCACAGCCATCCAGCTGCAGGTGGCGGAGGCTGGTCAGTGCACAGAGGCCCCCGAGGGCGCTGTCAGAGAGCCTCTCACAGCAAGTCAGGTCCAGGTGACTGAGGACCGCCAGGGAGCTGAGGGAGGCCAGCCCTGTGTCGGTGATGTTTGGGCAGTACTCCAAGGAGAGGCATCGGAGCGCTGTGCACTGGGCCAAGTGCGCAAGGCCGGCATCCGTCAGGCCCCTGCAGAAGCCCAGATCGATGCTGGTCACAGAGGGCAGCACCCACAACCTGGCAAGACCTTCGTCGATGCGCCAGCAAGTGGAGAGCCTGAGGCAGGCCACGTTGACGAAGCGCTCCCGCAAGACGAGGTGGAGGGACACATGGCGGGGCCGCAGGGCGACCACTGCCTGGTTGGCCCACAGGCACCAGTGGGAGTTGATGCGGCGGCAGGTCCGCAGGAGCCACACCCCGCTGCCCCCCTGAGACTCGAAGCTGTCCTTGATGCAGCCCAGGAGATCGTGAGGGATGAAGGACCAGGCCTGAGGCAGGGAGGCGTGCCAGCAAATGGTGGAATCAGCTTCAGGTTGTATCTGCGCCTCCGTGCATTGTGCCTCTTTGCAAACTACTTTTGCCAGCAGTGGTGTTTACTGTCCACAGCTTTACAGTGCTGGTATCTGTAGCTAAGGACTGTGTTTACACAGTATTCTGGATTGTACCTGTCTTAGTTCAGCACTTTACTTTACAGGAAGGTTGCACACCAACGTGTATTGTGACTTATGCCTTCTATTGGCAAAATCTCCAGCAAGATCGTTACCAGGAATCTCATTTACCAAAAGGGGTGGCACTGTCCATTACGACCAGTGGATGGACTGGGGCAGGAGAGAAATAGAATTGGTGTCATGGTAGAGCATGGAAACAAATGGAACAAGCAACCAGGAGCAATCCCTGTTGGGCAGATCTATTGCCCAGTTGTCGAGGCAAAAATTGACACTGTGGGACAGAATGAGGCACAGACCCAGGCAAGGAACCAGTTTACCACCCTTGGTTGTATCCTTTGGGGTCGCCCTGCGGAGACTGCATGAAATGCAGTCAGGCAGACAGCACAACACGACAGGCCTGAAGCAATCCTGAAAGAGTGCAAGAAATGGAGTGATGGCACAGGCCATGTGTGCATCACACGCATGTGGTGGACCACGCAAACGGTCTTGCTGCCCCTGATACCCAGGCTGCTGTGCACGATGCTAGGTTGTACAGATACGCAGGCATCGGGTGCAGCACTCTTGCCTACAGCCTCGCAACCTGTGCTTGCTGCCAACGTAGGTTTGAGTGGCACCGCAATTTGGTGGTTGAAATCCCATCAATGCTGAGATCAGTGTCAGACACTGGTACTTGTGAAGTGACTGGCACCGCTACGTCTGATACATGGGTGCAATTGAATGACGTGCTGGCATATATTCTGGATCTGCGCCATGCGCAGCACTCCATGCACTGAAGGCACTGTTCATTGGCCCTGAACGGTCTGCACTTCTTGATGCATGCAACGCCTCTCACAATTCTAAAACATTCTCAAACAGTGTTTAACTGGGAGGCGCTGCCGCTCGCTTGCCCGTGTATTACTTTCCGGACCGACAAATTTTATCAGCGCACCAACGACCCACAGATGCCACCATCCCATATTTTCGTTGACTATCATGCGACCAGCAGAACAGTTGACCGAATGCATCGTCTTCGCAAGCCATCAAGCTGAAGCGCGCGCCCTTGCAACCCGGTCGCAGAGGACTCACCAACAGCAGCAAATAAAATTCTGTCTTGCTCGCCGCCAAGCTAATCTGAAGTGGGATCTCCACATGCACAACCACGGCCAGCAGGCCTGAGGTTCGGGCATGCGCAAGGCTCGGCGATCTCTACCGACACGGACGGAAAGACCTGCCAGAAAGCTTCCCGAACGGCCGCGCGGGGTTGTGCATCGCAACCCATCGCCCGCCTGGCCCCTGGGCGCAAATTCTCCCAGTCCGCATGGCGCCCACACGCAGTCCAGGCCGCGCGCTCCGGGAGATCCCCCAGCGCCCTTGACACCGAATCGCATCATGAGCGACGCGGCAACAGGAAACTCTCCTCGAGGCGTCGGCACAAAAAATGAAAAATAAGGCATCGGCCGTCCGCGCATTCGCTATCACCGCACCTGCTGATCTTCGCTGTGCCAGGGAGCCATCCCCGCGCCTCCAGCTGCGACAGCCACAAAACCATCGTGTCAAGCTCCCCACCGTTGCAGTCCCATGCCGACACCGTGCAGCAAAGACCCACGCGGGATCGCCGCACATTCCGACGCGCGGAGCCCTGGCGACGGACTCCAATCCCCCCTCCCCAGCGACGTCGCCCAGCCCAGATGCGATCCAGATCTCCGCTTCCCATTCGCCCTCCGCCCCCCGCCCAGTCCCCACAGCATCGAGCCCGGTTCACAGAAGCCGTGCTGCGACTCGCCATCGCAGGGGCGCACCACCCGCGCCAGCCCCCGGCGGTGTCCACACTGATGGCACAACCTGCGTCCTTAATGAGGACTTCTTATTCAGGTGAACCAGACCAGCTTTGGTACCGCCTCAAGGCTCAAGCGCGGCGCTGTGCGTGCTGTTCCAGATCTTGCGCCGCGCCTGTCGGACTCATGGCCGGAAAAATGCGAAGGGATCCGGCCATCACCGCAGGCGAGGGGATTCCCACCTGATCCGTTGCCTCGCATCAGGGCTGCCCCTCCGGCGCGCCTTCCCGCCTCATTCCAGGGGCTCCGTCCGGCCGCTGCTCAGCGCCGCCCGCGTCCGGGGCTCGCCTGCCCGGTGGTCGCCACCGCGGACCGCAACGGGCTGCGGGGTTTTCGCGGCCCCGCCGGGGTGGGCTAGTCGGAAGCTGGAGACATGACAAGCCTGTTGGTGCGGCCCCAGGTCGTTCTCAGGTCCGTCGCGTGGCGCACGGCGTTGAGTTTTGGCGCGGCTTGCTCGACTGATTCCGTCATGACGGGCGATCAGCCTTCGAAATGAGCGCAGGCGAATGGGATTTCGATCTCGAATCGCCGGGCCACAAAGTATACTCCCGTCGACTTGCGACGGGTAGGGCGATTGACAGTGACGAGGTAGTGTTCAGAACTGCAATATGCAGTCACTGATGCCAACCAACCTCCGATTTGAGTTCGGGGCTTTGCTTCCAGTCAGCGACCTGGTTGGTGTCCACAACGCGGGCGCGCTTCGCAGCAAGTGCTCCTCTTTCGCCAGAATGTATGAGGTTCCCAACGAGTTATGGTTGGGACACGCCTGAGACCGCACGAGGGATGACAGGTGGACACGCAGCCCGAGGGGCACGAGGCCAGATTCCCGACGAGGGCGCGAAGCGCCCGAGTCGGGAATCTTGGCCGAGTGCCCCGAGGGCTGCGTGTCCACCTGTCATCCCGAGTGCGGTCTCGGCGTGTCCCAACCATTACGAGTTGGGAACCGGGCTGTCCGCACGGTACACGAGAGGCCGGTCCCTGACTGTCATACGCCCATCATTCAAACCACAGTCCGCCAAAACTGCTGGCCATACAGGCGGCGCTGCCAGTGCCCAGCGCGCAGTGTGCTCAGGGAGCGCCGCGCAATGCAGCGCTGTGCCCAGGGCCACTGCAGGCAGCCGCTCCTTGCCGCGCTCATGTGCCCACTGTGCGGAGCGCGCCCAACACCTTGAGATCTGCCCATCGTCTTGGCCACCGATGGCGGGGGCACCGACCCTCGATCGCCACGAAAATCAGCTGCTGGCCAACGGAAGGGAGCCCGATTGAAGTCGGACCTTGAAGGGCAGGGCGCGTGGGGTGCTGACGAGCCCAACCTCTTCGTTTGGATCGTTAGCTTGGTACGGTTGTGCAGAATTGCTCAAGCAACGATTGCCCGATTCCCGTCGACATGGGATCATCTCAGCGCCCGGGTTTTGCCCGTGCGACAAGCGAGCGAGCTGAAAACGTCGCGTGTCAGTTACTGACTTCTTTTCGCGTGCTTCCTGTCGTGCCGGCGGAAATTGCGCTGGGCCAACGGGAATTCCGGCTGGGCGGCGGAAACTGCGCTTGGGCTAGCGGAAATTGTGCCAGGGCCGGCGGAAACTACGCTTGGACCGGCGGGTAGCAGGGGTACGATCCCTGAGGGAACGGCATCCCAAGCGTCGCTTGCATTGTCTGGATCGTCGACGTCCAGAATTGCCTTGTGGGGAAGGCTTACACCAGACGATCTCGCCGTTTCTTCGTCCAATCCGTGCATGCTAGGTTGACCAAGTCGCGGGCGCTCTGCGAGTCGGGTTTGGCGCCTTTCGCGCGCAGTTCTGCTGGAGCTTTCGCGCGTTTTTTCCGGTCCCGCCACCCTCGCCTCGACCAGGCGGGTGTCGCAGTACTGCGGCTGCCAGCTCGGCGCTGGCCAGTGGCAGGCGCCAGAAACGGGACATCCAGGGTGGGAATCGCTTCGGGCGGGTGGGACTCGATGGGGTGGGTGGGACATGTGGTTCTGGTTGGTGGGACTCGATGGGAGGGGTTGGGACATGTGGTTCTGGTTGACCCTCGCCAGCCCGGACGCCCAGAGCCACATGTCCCGGCCCCGCGCCAGGGCACAGGGGGGCGGAATCCGCGATTCCGCCCTCCTGGTGCGTGGAGCGGGGGCGGAATCCGCGATTCCCGCTGCTGTGGTGGGCTGGTACTGGCTGATTCCCGCTCCTCTGAAGTATTGCGCTTATGTACTAACCCCAAAATTACCGTGCGGACAGTGACCCTACCCGCGTCGGGCTCAGGGATCTCTTGCGAATGATGTCGAAGCAATGGGGCAGCTGCGATCAGAGTGTGTGAGGCACGGGCGAGAGTCGATCAGATGGAAGGGGCTTACAATCCCAGTAAGCGTCCCCAAGTGTGGGGCGCAGCCTCTACATAGTCCAAACGGCCTTGGATCAGGTCAACCCATCCTTGGTGCGTTCATCATCACTCTTGGCAAGTTCTCACACCTGGGAAGCTTGCAAACAACTAGCATTCCAAGACTGTTCATTGTGTCGAATAGGTCAGGTCGCAACTTTGCTCAGCCAAGGTGTGTCAGCACGAAGGCGTTTCGTAGTCGCATCATCATCGTCTTCCTCATTACGGCATCGCCCCTTTGTGGAAAGTGCTACAGAACCAAGGCTTACATGTACGGTGACTTCCCTCGTGGCTTGCTGCCCGACGGGAGGCCTCAACTGCTCAATAAGGAACCATTGCCATGGCGTCATCCCGCCGCCTTCAGCCGTCCATGTTTCCCCCGTGGCTCGCGGCACAGCGAGGCGAAGGTCCATGGTCTTTGACCGTATACGACTGTCAAGTCCGACTAGTTGAACGTCCTCAACGCCGACGCCAGCTCTCCAGCAACCCAACTTCCTAGCAGTTGCTCGAGTGCCAGCGCTCCCATACAAGGCCGCGGTTTACCTGGCACTGCACTCGACGGCAAAGAACGAAGTTGTGACCTTCCTCGTCTCTGCAGCCAGCACCTTGATGTTGGCTGCTCACAAGCGTTTGAACCGCCTTGCCTCGCAGCGCCTCGAGGTACCTCGCCATGCGTCTTGTCTCGTTTCGAAGCTAGTCGTTCTGTGTCATCCCTGGAGCCCATTGCCTCAGTAACGCCTCAGCGCTGACCGGTATTCGGAGACGGACGTCGACGAGCCAGCGGTCAACTTGCGGTTTGTAGCCGACCAACAGCCAGGACTCGACGTTGATCAGGGCGAACCGTTACCAGCCGCGGAGCCTTCCGTGATCAGCCAACCTGATCTCAGGGTGCAAAGCCATCGCTGCACCGCGCTGGACTTGACAACCGCCCAGCAAGCCACAGCCGTTGCCAGCAGTGTCAAGTGCCCAGCAGTGTCAAGTAATGGCGAGCCTTAGTCCAAGAAGAGAGTATCTTCTTGTCATGATCCCGATCATGTTTTTCATGGTGTACTAGATTCCTCAAAAGTCCAGCGGATGTGTCAACGGCCGACAGACCGTCTGAGCCATTGAACGTGCAATGGCAGCTGTCAGCTCATAGCTTCTCTGACTCTTTTGTTTATAATTTGCTGTTGTGTTCTCTCCCTTTCCTATCGAGTACCCGTTTAGCATAAGTGAACAATATAATGACTGGTCATTATGCAGTAACTCGAACAGGCTGTAATGGGGACTGCACTGTGTCGGTCGGCGGCAGCGCTTGCCATTAGGCTGCTTTACTTCACGACAGCGCATGCGTGTTACTGTTGGTTTTTAAAACCTTTTGCAGCGGGAAGCTCTACCGGTGCGCTTTTTGCTCCGCATTCGTTTTCCAGAGCGTGTTCTTTATTGTGTTTACGTTTGTCTGCAACATTTGTTAAATGAGTGTTATTTGTTTTGTTGTTTTCTCTGTAAAAATCCAAGCATTATGTTTCTGTGCGGAGGTATTTAAAATCCAACAGTACGCAAATTCACCAGCAGCTTTACAAGCTTGCCAGGGGCCCTGGGCGCTTCATCCACCCAAAATGCCGCAAAACCCAGGAAAACACAAAGGGGACTTCTGCTTTCATGCTCCTACAGATGACTCCAAACCACAAGGATCGCCGTCTGCTCCAATGTACAAGGACATTTGAACCCCTGCCTCGAACAGTGCTTTGCTCCAAACAATGCTACGGAATCTGTACTGACCACTTGTGCCCACCCCATTCGATGTTGATGAAGTGCATGAGCACAGATCCACGCCTCGCATTTTGTACCAGACTAACATCTACGATCTTTCGATACTGAAGGTGGAAGTGAATAGCCATGTGCAAAGATTTTTTTTATTTCCACGCCGCAATCAGGGCATCGATTGGCACATCGATTCATGCACAGATTGGTAGAACAATCAGTGCATCCAATGATGCACAAATTGGTGCATGAAATCGTGTACCGAGTGTTCCACCATTTCACACACCGATTTCTGTGCTTAGATCGATGTTGAAATCAAGTCCAGTTGATTCGATTCCATTGCGATGCAACATGGCCAACTCTTCTCCATACTCGCTTGCATTTAACCGCCCATCAAGGGTTGGAGGACCATCTGAATTGTCAGCCTGACCGCCTGACGCCGCGATTAACCACAGGACCGCGCGTGCGCAGCGCGTGCAGCTGTCCGGCCTTGTATCAGCGGGTTTACAAATCGGGACGGAATTTTCGGGAAGGCACGGTGAGATACCCAATCGATTAGGATGCAACTCCCCTTGAAAAAAGAAGAAGCTGCAGGAGTTTGATAATCTTGGACTTGATGTTTTGAGTCATTGAAATGAGTTCAACACGGCCAAAAAAGTTTTGGGAAATGCTTCCTGTATGATAAGTTGTCCTTTTCTCTTTTTCTATTTTCTGGTTCTGTATTTCTGGAGCCCCCGCACCCAAACACGTGGAAGTTTTCTTAGCTTAGATTCTCTGTTATCTCACCGCGACAGTACTTTAGAGGTGGTAGGGCATGCCACGAAAGTCATAGGACCTGAAAGGCAGATAATTTTACAGTGCCACTGCCACCATCAAACTCCATTGGGTGGCTGGCAGTTCGCAATCTCAATAATTCTGGCACAAGCACAGGGGAGTGGCACGTTACTGTGCAAGGAGACATACAAGCCCCATCTTGCAGGTGCAAAGTTAGTGCCTTTCCATTCTTGATTGAATGAAATCAATGGATCCACGAAAAAATGAATAACTACCTTATAAGTGAATCAATAAGTAGCCCAATAAGCAAATAAAAATGAGTAATTAACAATAAGAAATGCCACTATAAAATCCAGAAAGCCACCATATCGAGAGTATTGACACCCGTGTCCATTGCTGTGTTTGCCTATCCATTGGGTGTCCCCGCACTAGGAAACCTGGGCAACGGTGGCAGTTTTGCAGACTTCACAAAGTTCGCCATGGGATCGACGAGTTGCCACTGAGGGTGGCACATGTGGGGGCATTCTGGACAGGGAAACCTTTACCAAAATAAGATGGGGCGTCAAAAGTCTCACGAGCTTCAGCTTCTGCCTGATCACTCTTGCTGAAGACAACATCTCCCATGTTTTGCAAGAACCTCGGCAATTGATGCCATGCACGGCGACACAAAAAAATATGCCCGTCCATCTTTTGCCATCAAGAGCGATCACACCCATGCCTCTGTTTCGATAGGCTCCCGTTCACACTCACTTGAGCCAGAGCGCGTTGTGGATGGTGAACACCTTCACGACAGGTAATTTCATGACTCAATTTGTAATCTGGTCATTTGTAAGAATATTTAGTAATTCTGATTACGTGACTAGTTTATAGTTTAGTCTGTCACCATCCGTGTCTACCAATCCACAGCGTCCATTGCAGCTTCGCAGCACCGTTTCTTCCATGGCTTAGCCTCTTTCAAGCGCGCCATCTCCTCCCTCGAGGGAGGCTAACAGATTTCAGCGTCTGGCACGTTGCCACGACGCGCAGACGACAACGGATCCCCCAGTGCCGGCCAGGTGACCAGCCGCCATTCTTCGATAAACGCCTGCTGTCCTGGCGAGCGATATTGTCACAACGTTGTGACGAACGGCATATTCCCCGCCACGTATTGTAAGCAATGCCCAGCGCAAGGATGCACCTCACCTGGATGCGGCATCCTTGAAGTGCTTCACCACCGAGCCGGGGACGTTTGGCATGGCAGCTCACTGCCCGTTGCACCCACAAGGCGCCCAGCTCACTAGGTGTCGCGGGGTGTAGGTCGCAGGCGGCAGCCATTAGCTCGCTGGATCAAACGGCATTTAGGAAAATATGCTAACACACTTCCTAAAAATGCGCATGTTAGAATTTTGCACAGACACAGGCATTGCTGAGTTTTTGAATAAGACTAAGACGTACCAGGGCCGCCGACAGGGGCAATTTGGCGATCGCCAGCGGCCACTCCGAAATCCAGGAAGCTGTCTTGCGTGACAGCATCCCGGATTTCGGAATGAGCAACGACAAATCGCATTGCCAGTGTGAAGGATCGTGAACAGGCACGCGCGCCTGAGTAATTTTTGCTTGCAAACAGGTTCCCAGGGGATGACGTGCAGCACGCGCAGATCTTCGGATTGGTGGAGGGCTGCTGAGTAAATCGATTATGGAAGCGACGAATTACACCATTGAAAATATTCAATGCTTCAAGCAGCTGGTCATTACCATTACGGTTAGTCAGACGAGTAGTCATTTAAATATGCACAGCCGAAAGCACTTGGGAAAGTGCACCTGGAGCACTACACCAAGCATGTCGTTACAACGTGGTTTCGGCTAAACAGCGTTGGGCTCCACGCTTTCCTCATAGAGGGCTGGCTTGGGCCACGACCGTCGTCCCATGTTACGCCTTTCGTGTGTGTCCGGGACCCCATCTCCCAATCGCTGACGTAACCGGCGGAGCGCATCGCCGTGTTGGCGCTATCGCTGTGGGGTTCGGGTTCACAGACCACCCTTGGCTTCGCGGCTGGGGACCGACGACCTGTCTCAGTGGCCCGCGACGCGAGCACAGGCCACCGGCCAAGGCACGACCGTATCGCTGGATGCAGAGATACGGTAGGCTGGGTTCCGCAGGCCGCATTCAGCGGGGCGGGTGGAGGTGCCGTACAGGCTGTCATGCTTGGCTGAGATGACCCATCGTCGAAGCGCAAACCGGCGTGGCCCCGCTCCACTGCCGGCCGCCCATCTCCAAAGCAGCGGGCGGAGTCGCCTCTCCCCACCCACCACCCCCCCGCTCTCCCCGCGGCCTCCCGCCAGCCACGCTACCGACCCATCTGCCCCTGCCCATTCCCGGTGGCGTCTCTGGGCGAACGCTCATCACGCAGGTCGGTCGCATTGGAGGGCGAGGGAGCGGCGGGCGGCGACGCACGGGTGATCGCGCGGGCGATCGAACTGGTTGGGCCAGGTAAAGATCGGCGCCGCGAGATTTGCGGGTACGAATCGTCGCGGAGGGAGGCGGGGTTCCGGAAATGATTGGCGCCCGCTGGCGCGGCGGGGGAGCCCCGCGGCGGGCCTGGCGTGGCCGCCCGGCGCGCTGCGCTGCGGAAGGGAGGCCTCGGGATGGCCGTGGCTCCACGCGCCGTGGCGGTGGGTCGTTTAGCCGTGCTGCTGTCCCATGCGCGTAGCTGCCGCGCTGTCGGAGCTGGATTGATGGCTGGAGAAGGCGGGATCGCGCGTGTTCACACGACAGACCCGCTGCTCTGGTTACAGAGGTCTCGGAGCGCGAATCTCGCTGCCTGCACTGCCCAAATGCCGGGAAAAGGCTGTGGAGGCGTCGCTGTGCGCGGCCCCCCGGCTGTCCAGGCGCTGGATGGCGCGAACGTGTCGATAGGATCGGGGTCCTTCTCGCGCCATGTCTACGGGTGGCGGATAGCCGGCAAACTAACGCGCCCCGATCACCTGAGTTCAGTGGAGGTATGAGGGGACTGTCGTGTTTTGCACGCTGCCTGTAATGGTACCTGCGTTCAGCGGTAATCCTGCGGGCATTTGCATTGTAGCAGCCAGGGGTGCCAAGATTGTCATTTAGACGAGGAGGAAAAAGTGCTGGGCAAGGAATTTGCGAGATTTTGGCCCATGCTGTGGAAGAAGTTGAAGCAGTATCAGCATACAAAAGCATTGGCACACAGCACAGAATGGCACCAGTGGCAGTAAGGCAAGCCCTCAATGGTGGCCTTGTGTGTGTGTGGGTGTGGGTGGGTGGGTGGGGGGGGGATTGCGTTGCCATCACAAATTTTCCTCCTGCCTGCTCACGCTGCCACAGGTTCACCACACGTACAGGTAGGCAATTGCAACGGTTGGGCTTTGGTCTTCCCTGGAGATTTCAAAGTTCGGCCATGGCAAGGGTAATTACTTTTCCTCTTGTGAGGGGTGGGGGTGGGGATGCAGGTCCTTGAAAGGTGCAAGGCACCCCAAACCGCAATTTGGCCAAAGCCATCGGCCTTATCCACTTGGATGCTCTGGCTCACAGCTGCTTCATGGTTTTCCATTTTCAGGGCCAGCTAAATTGCCTACAGGACTAGGGTGGGATTTCTTGCGCTCACGACCCTGATCTGGCTCCTGGTTCCGATATGCCCTTCTGCACCTGAGAATCTCCACAGGCAGACCTGCCAAACAATCGCTTGCACTCGGTCCAGGGGTTGCCCTTTCATAAGTGAACAGCTTGACCAGCAGACACAACACTCCCTGGACAATGTTGGCCTTGTTAGTTACATTGGACTGTGTTGTTTTGTTATGTGTAATGCTTATTTGCATACTTGTTCATCGGGCCTTTTGTGGTGTATAGCTAGGGTAACGCTATGTTGCACTGCACTTGCAAATCAGCCACGTTATGAAATCTGTATGGAAATGAGCTTTTTTGGCTGCTCACCATTCTGACGGGTCCTGGATGTGTGTCAATGACTATCGCTGGTCCTGACTTGACAGACCACTTTGGTGGTGCCACCATGGGCGAATGCCTTGTGGTTTGCATTGCATCATGAGCCCACAATAGACACAAGGCCAGTCATTACCTCCAATTTTCAAAATTTGGCAATAATTTGCTGTGCAAAGGCAAAAGGGCAATCTTCACAAAATTGTATAATTGCAAACCGTCTCGCATGCCTACTGTCCCGATCACCATCCAACGGACTGCTGACGTCCAATTGTTTTGTGCAGCACGGCACAGGGGCGTATCCCCATCTGGCAGGGTCTTGGTGCTGGAGGGGGAAGCACCCCACGAGGGGGGCGCTGAGCAGCGGACTGGGCTTGTGTGTGCCTCAGTGAAGACTCCCTGACATCAATGCCTCGGAGAGGGCAGAATTCTAAGGCCCTTGAGGCCCCTTCGTCGTGCCACCCTGTGCCTGCAAGCCACCTCCCTGCAACCCAAGATGTGGTCAGCCCCTGCCCAGGCGCTGTTCAGAAGCTCCCCATCATCGACAGTGCTACCAACGCCGCTCGTGGAATCGCCACAAACGTCCAGAAAATCAATCGGGCGTTGAGACGGCGCTTGCAAGCAAGGCACAGGCGTTCTGACGGGGACGATGCCAGAGATGACCCAGACTCGGACAATCAGTCCTTGGTCAATCCTCTGTCACTGTCCCTGCTGTTTGGGTCACGTGCTCCTGTGGATGGCAAGGTGCTCCAGCATGAGATGCCCCAGTGGTGGAACCCATGGGGAGGGCATGAGCCCCCCGGCACGGGCATTCCGGGTTGGAGGTCGCGCAGGGGGGCGCCTGTCCATATACTGCCATCTGACAAACGACCATCAAAGAAAAAGGCAACCAAGGTGGGGGACGTGTGTATCATCAATCCATATTGCACCCTTGGGGACTGTGCACTGCCACTGCCAGAGGAACACTGCAGACCATGCGGTCCAGATAGTTCCACCTTCAGAGCAACACTGCAGACCATGATGTCCAGAGATTTTTGCATTTGCAGAACGTCCTCAACACAAACTTCAGAGAACAAATGTTGTTTGTTTGCTGCTATGCTCTCATCGCCTCCCAGTTGCAAGAGCATTGTTCTGTCAGGTGTTCTGCGAGAGTATGGCAGTTGGAAGCCACACGCTCTTCAGAGAGTTCCGGGTGGAATCCGAATTCTCATTCAAACCCATTTTCCGAAATGCTGATTTCTGTTTCCAACCTGCACAAGGTGGGGGGCGTGGTTCACGGCAGAAATACAAGGGGCCGCGGACTGGAGTCAGAGGGGGGCCGTGGGGGCGAGGGTGAGGACGTGATGTGCGTGGAGGTGACAAAGGGCAGAAGGAGGGTGTACCGCAGGAGGGGCCAGGTGGAAGGGGAGGCTGGTCCAGCTTTTTGGGCTGAGGAGGAGGAGGTGAGGCAGCTGACGAACTTCAGGGACTGCATATTCCCGAAGCATGTGTGTTCCTGAAGCAGTATTGGTGCCCCAGAGGGCTCCTGCGTGTTTAGCTGCATGGCCGTTATCAACTTGAATGGGTTGCATTTCCAGACCTGCTCGGCACGGCGATGTCTCTTTATCTCTTTGGTCCATGGACAGCAATAGCAAACCAAAGTGTTCATTCCAAAGTGCCGGACTATTGAAAATGGAGTTGTCGTGTGCCGTATCTGTGCAGGAGTCTCGCAACCAGCAGATGCGCAACGTCTTCCACAGCTACCTTCTTCCCAATGGCTTCCCAGAGAGTGTGGGGCCACAGTATGCAAATTACATGATGTGGCGCAGTGTGCAGTACCTTTTTGGTGGCACCATGGCTGTGTTCACCACCAAGTCACTGCTTGGCTCTCTGGGAATTGCCGGCAGGCGGTCGGGGGAGGCAGCGGCTGCCATCAATTGGGTGCTGAAGGATGGTGCTGGGAGGGTGGGACGATTGATGTTTGCGAGATGGTGAGATTGGCCCACTGACCACCTGTTGTTTTGGTCATAGTGTGGATGGATGCATGCTGTGACCACTGTGGCGTATATTTTCCCTCCTTTGGTGGCAAGTCTGACTTCATGACTGCAGAGCTCTTCAATCTCGCCACAGAGGCAGCTCGATGAGCATTGAAGAGGCACAAATTGCCTGTTTGCATGCCTTGTATTCTGGTGTTGTCTTGGTTTTGTATTTTGACGTTGGCCAGTTGGTCCAGTGGCCATTGATGGGTGCTTGCAGGCTGCTTGGTTTCATGATCTGCATTGCTGCCATGTTGGCTTCAGTATGTGGTGGCCACCTATCCCTTCCCTCCAGTTGAAACATTGGTGCATTCAGATGGTTCTTGGTTTGGTGGACTTGGGACCTTAAGACAATACTTCTGTGAGTTTGGAAGAAAGAAGATGCATGCCATGCACAAATGAATGCACTCTTGGCAACAGCTTGGTGAGATACATTGGTGCCTCATGCCTTGCGTCATGCTGAACTGTGCCTCAATGACAGCTGGTCACCCAGCGTCACAGCAAACAGGGTGTGTTTCATGCAACGCACCTCCACCTTGGGGATCAGAATGCATCATAGGCTGTTCAATGGACGTTTGGGTGATGATCCAGAAGATTTGTAGCACCTCCAGAGACGTCCATGAATGTGAAGGGGACAAAGCAGTGTTGCCACTCCAAAATCAGCTGTCTGTGCCCTTGGGGTGAGTGGGGGTGCTTGGTTGCTTGTTGGATACCATCTTCCCGATGAAAATGATGAAAATGATGGAATGGAACAATGACAGCATAGCCTAAAAGCCTTGTTAGATTCTTGTCATAAATGGTAAGTTATCATTGTACATATAACAGCAAAATGGCTGTAAGAACTCATTTGCTGACCTTCTGTGCCATGCCTGGTATGTAGGGGTAGAGCACTGGATTCAGAATTGAAGCAGTTTCGAATGATGGGTGACATGCTGATGGAGGTGGGTGCGGCGATGGAGCTGTCCACCATCATGGTGCCTGAGCTGTTTCTGCCTCTGGCCTGCACAGCAAACTTGTCGAAGAACCTGGCGGCCGTTGCAGCATCTTCGACAAGGGGTCCAATCTACCGGAACTTTGCCCTCCAAAACAACATGGCCGATATCACTGCAAAGGGTGCGCTTTTGGGCTTGCTTGTGATAGCTGGAACATTGTCACTGCTGCTATCAATTGCTATCACTGCCACAGCTGCTATTGCTGCAACTGTCACAATGCAGCAAATGACAGGACACAAGCAGGTTGCTGCAAGAAGTGAGCCATCTCACCTCCGCAGGTGGAAGGCCAGTGTCCTGCTGGTTCTCACACACTTGGGGAATTTTCAGATTTGGGGCAACACAGCAGTCAAGTCTGTTTCATTCCTTCAGTGCATCTAAATGCACTTTGTGTGTTCATGTTGCCCTCACTTGTTGGAAAGGAGGTAGGTTGCACATTCAGGAGGTCTTAGTTAGGCCTTGTTGTGACTTTGGGAACAAACCAGACCTCCAGGAGATCGATACACTGCTCAATCATGCAAATCGCATCAATGCAATGGCAGCACGCCCGCAGCATTTGGGGCAGTTCTGTGGGGAATGGGGACGAAGGCTCTTTAGGAGCACACACTCGTGACTGCCTGGTGAAAGTCCACTCTTGTGCTTCACATTGATTTGTTGGGAAGCAGGCACCCAATTATTGCTGTAGTCCCATTGCTAAATCGTGGCCTCTCAGTAGCAGGTGTATTGCCAAACCAGAAACCAAACCACCAAGAGACTGCAGCTGCAGAAAGAGCACAGCGTTAATGCCAGTCTGAGAATCACGTGGTGCTGCCATGATGCAGGGGAGAGCATAGCAAACCTGGCTGACATCGTGGGCACGGTGGCAGGCATCGTGCTCTCCAAGATGCGCGTCCCCGTGCTGCCCACGTTCCTGTGCCTGTCCACTGGCTACCTCATCGCATCGAGACAGGAAATCGCTGCGGTGGAGTTGCCCTACCTCAACAGGGCCCGACTGTCGCTCGCATCGAGAACCTTCTTGGAGACAGGGTTGGTCCCAGGTGAGGGATGAAACTGTAGGGTACAGTGGATTGGGGTTGCGGGTGGCATGGGGCAGGCAGAGGCATAGTTGTCATTTGGTATGCTCGTCCAAATGCACACGGTGACGATAGTCAAAATGTTATCTGTTAGCAGACGTTATGCATGCAAATTTTGTTGAACTTGGCAGACATTGCACTTGTGCATGTGGAACGATGTTCCACATGATCTGGTCAACTGTGCTTGCATAATTTTTTGTTCATTTGTGAGTGTATGGGAGAGGAATGGATAGGAGGTTGAAGGAGTGAATGCATTCTTGGGCATGACTTGGTGGAAACACAGTAATCATGTTCTCAGGGCGTTTGTCGTCAAAGGTTTATTGCTCTTGCTCACTGGAATGAATAGATTACTCCTGTCCTACTGTGAAGAGTCTTTGTGTCTGGTGAACGGGTGGCAGGCTGTGGTTTTCATGCAGTTAGGTTCCTCGAGGCCCACACGGGTGGCTTTAGTTCTTTTTCCTCCTTTCTTATGGTTTCAATTCAGTCTGGAGGTCATGAGATGTGTTGTTGCCTTGTCTTGTGGGTATCTGCATATTAGACGCCATTCCTTGCTCGGTTTGACTGCCCTTTCCTGGATGGTGCTCCTGGCCGTTTCGGTGTTCTGTGGTGTACTGTCTCTCCCATGGTGATTTACAGCATATCTGGGAGCAGACAATCGTCTAGAACAATGCTTGGGAGGTGTTTATGCTCATGATCGCCTGTTGGGTGCAAGGGCTGTGTTGCTTGAAATGTTGTGCAAGGAATTCGCTCATTGGCACAATCTGCAGTGAGAATGGGGAGTCACAGTTCCAAAATATGAAAAGCAGTGGTTGCATATGAACTGATTCTCTGAGTGCTAGAATACCACATACTACTGATGAAATAAAGCATGTTCATCTGGTGATGAATGCTGAGAACTTATGCTGATATATGGTGGTGAAATGCGTGTATTGGTATGGTGGAGCAGTTCTCGGGGCGGCCGTTCGTGGTCACGTACAGGTAGGGCTTGCAGTGCTCGTAAGCAACCAGTGCACCATGTTTGTTGCAGATCCGATGAACTGAAACAAGTTGTGAAATTTGTGACCGGTCAAATTTCACCACCGCGATGGCATGCATAGCATTTGAGTGGGTGTGGAGTGCACGTTTAGCTGAACTCGTTGCGTTAGTCAACAAGGCATGCACTAGCACATTTGGACATTACACAATCGTGTCTGTTGATCGACTGATCGGTCGTTAATTCTGACTTGCAAGTATTTCTCATTGGCATTCAAGTACAGTCAATTTCCTTTTGCAGTCATTTTGCAGTCATCTTTTCCTCAATCTTGCCATTCGTTGTATCAATTATTCACCTCTTTGTCTCCTCGCTGTCCATGTTCGACTGCACAGCAGTGTGTCACCCTCGTTTGTGCCCTCCAGGCCCTCCACCAAGAAGACCTACGTCCTGCTGCGCGAGGGCGTTAAGCCACTGGACATCATGCACGCCTCCTTCACCGCCCACACCTTCACACACCTCCTCACCCATTCAAGCCGCGCACCCAACTGGACTGACTCCTTGGCTCCCGCCCTGCAGCCGCACCACCCCGAATCAAATCCTAATTCGGGTTCAAGCCATGCATCGGATCGTCGGAGACATGATGGTGGACATGCGAGGGGAAAGGGAGAGCGGGAGGGGCAGGCCCGGGATTGGCAGGGCGCGCTGCAGGCGACCTTGGAGGTGGGTGATGCACTGTTCAGGACGTTCAGGGACCAGGCGTCAGCGGCGGGCTGGAAGCTGCAAGCCACGACGCTCAACGCGCAGGACACGCGGCTGGTGGCTGCCTGATGGGTTGGAGCGGGCAGATGGCCTTGTGGCGGAGTGTGAGCTCGGTCAAGCATGTGCTAGGCTGAGCGTTCAGATGCGCTTGTGTTAGGAGTGGCTGGTCAGACATGCATGCGTTGGAAGGAGTAATCGGGCATCCGGTCGGTGAGGGCTCAAGTGTGCATGGTTGAAGCCAGCTGTCAAGCACGTGGGGGCCAGGTGGGGCAGTGCAGCAGGCCTGACAACTTGAGCAACGCAGTCCCAAGGGCGGAGAGGTTGGAGCGGTTGGGCTGTCGTCCAAGTCAACAGCGTCGAATTGAATCCATCCATTCCAGAGCACCTTAAGCCCTTCTGAGCAACGGGGATTGTGCAGACAAGGCTGCCATGGCCCGAATGGAGGTCAGCCTGATTCACAGCAAATCAGGCGAACATGCTGCCACGGATGTGGCTATTTCATTGATTCTTTGAAGACGAGGATATCGCCTTAGACGGGGCATATTCCCCAAATGGCACCTATCTTGCCCAGTGTTGTGCTTGGGGCTCGTCCGACTGTTCTGTGCGCCTACTGGGCATGCATGAGGGCAAAATTGGGAAGCAACATAGAGTAGATGGGGCTCTTGGGCCCATTGAAATGACTTCCATTGCTCGGTGACGCCGAAGGGCGGACGCCGCATCGAACCCTTGGAGGGCTGGTGGCTGACTTGGCACAGTTTACAGCACATCGGCAAGATCAATACCGGGGTGCTGTGAAACAGGTTGCTGTGGTGCACCTGGGGTGGCGCTGCAGTTTCATGCAAGTCACCACACGAGAGAGCAAGCTGGTGGCGGTTGGTGCAACCGGCACCCATTGCCCGGCGGGCAACGGTTGGCCAGAGGGTTGAGTTGGGAGCTTGGCGCTCCTGATGCCTGGATTGGGGTGAGAATTTATTTATTTGTTGTGTCATTTGGGTCCTTGTGGCACTCGGCACAGTGTTATTTTGCGACTCCCAACGATTGCACCACATTTAAGAGTCCAGGTGTCCGCCCTGTCTTGGTGCGAGAGATGTGCCCTTTGCGCTGTCCACAAGAAAGCGTAGGGCAACTGAAGCCGAAAAGGCAGCTCATATGAGAATGAATGCACGTGGTGCACTTGATGCTGTTAGTCTCAAAGAAGTCGAATTCGGCACTCAAGGGGCTCCACGGCAGATGAGCAGCGCAAGGTGTTGTGCAGCCCAGTGTATTGGTCACACGAAAGTGCATGTGCATCGCGCATTTGACAGTGCCAGTTCCAAAGAAGAGAAGTGCTCGGCGCGGTTGTGGCGTGCCTCGTCCCTGCAAGCGTTGGTGTTAGTGTAAGCGAGGAACACTTTGCACTTGAATTGGTCACATGGGTTTTCCCACAGGAGAGGAGTGGCACCAGGGTGATTTTGCAGCTCTGAACGTCAATTGACGCTAATCTTAGATTCTTCCGCTCCCGTGGTATTGATCCTTGTGTCATCATTCCCATATTTGGATGGATTTGCACCCAGACACTCAAGGCGGCCAGCGCTTTGCCGCCGTGACCTCGTGCCCTGTACCTTTGAGCCCGTGATTTGTTCCGTTACTGCGTTTATGTCCATTGTCCCTCGGTGATAGTGCAAACCAACACGGACCGACACTTCTTGAAGGCTCTAACATGTTGTGGTCGATTGCCTTCCAGTAGTGTGCGCCGTGCCGCAGGCGCTGACGGCGATGACGTCCAGTACCTCGCACCCCCAATTTTTTGGCTATCCTGCGGCCCGCCATCCTAGGGTCCTCATTCTCAGCAATTTCGATCGGTTTTAACACCCCAACCATCTCACCCTACCGCCGGCAAGACAATAGGGCTGGCCATCCCCAGCCTGTAGGCCCTACAACGGCCCATCCCCACCCTCCCTCCAGAAGACACCGCCTTTCTGTTTAGAATCTTGCGAAAGACGTATAATTAACCCAACAAAACAATGCAGTCACGCCCACGCTTACGACCACAACACGTGGCCCCTTTCAACGTGGCATGTGCAACAGTTGCACGGTGGTCCAGTGGTTGACTTTTCACAAATACACGTTGGTTAGAATTTCAGCAAACATTGTTTGAGATAGTCATGGTGAGATGGTGCGCAAGCATTTTTGATCACCTACAAACACATGATATCAATTGTGTGCAAACATACTGCAAACATACTGTAATATCAATAGTGAGCCAACATTATGAGTAGTCATTGAGTGGGTGCGAACTGTGAGAAATCGCAAATTCTTTACCGGCGCACTGCCCGCACTGGCTGCAGCGCTCAGGAGTCCAAGTCGTCCATCCATCCTGCCTTGCTCAACGCATGACCGTGCAAACCAACAATTCCTGCCAGCGGTATCAAATCCAATCCGCAGGCTTGGCCCGCCCATCAAACCCGCACACCGTCCTGGAAAAGCGGTGTCAGACATGGTAGTAATTTGCAGCATCTTGTTGTGCCACTTTTTCCGGCAAAGGCGACACAGTGACAGAGACTGCAAACTACAGACGTCTGCAGAATTCTTTTGCAAACTTTTTTGCAGCCTTTTTTCTTTTTTCGACTTTTGCGGACATTTTTTCGCAAAATTTTCTTGGCCACCACGTCAAGTCCTGCCCGCTTCCCCGCCTGTGGACAATCCGTGGACCCGGCCGTATCGTAGATCCCGTAGATCCCATAGATCCCGGTTAGAGCGCAGCCCCATCTATAGCCCCGGCTGGACCGTAGATTCCGTAGATCCCGGCTGGAGCGCGGCCCATTCCGCAGATCTGTACACCTCGGCGCCCAGGGAGGCCAGCTTCCGGTCGAGCCCATCGTAGCCCCTGTCCAAATGGTGCAGGTTGTGAATGATGGAGAGCCCCTCGGCGGCCAGCGCCGCAACGACCAGTCCGGCAGCCGCGCGCAGGTCAGAAGCCTCCAAGTGGGCTCCTTTGAGCTGCGGCCGGCCGCCAAGGGGCGGGCGACCCACCACTGTGGCCGTGTCTCCCCGGACGGAGATCCTGGCTCCCATCCTGAATACAGGAATCAATGCAACAATCTTGGTCGTGTTACAGCTTGTGATATTCAATTTGAAAAACTGATTAGCATCCAATAATCTCATTTCAGAGGTTGACTTGAATTTAATGATCAATTTGAAAATGATCGGTGATTGATGGTCGTGGTGGATTTGTCCGAGGCGGTACGTAGAAGCGACGTTCAGCAATGCAACCGCACAGGCCGCCGATGGTGGGTGACTGCGATTTCGATTGTCGAGCTACCACGGCTCGTGCCATTTTGGTCGTGCAGCCATCCTTGCACAGGCATGGCGTGTTTTCTCCTCTCATGCTTGCTCTGTCCGTGGAAGAATGTTTGGCTGATGGCTAACAGTTGCCCCTTTTCACTGTGCTCCTGCTGTTCCCCGGGGCAAATTCTAGCCCGATTCACCAATCGCAACTGTCAGGGGAAGGTACCAACCCAGCGTACACAGAGAAGAAACTACAGTGTCTAACGCATGCTTTCAGGACTGTCCATAACGCAGGTAGACAGAGCGTCATCGCTGTTATTGTCCACCTCAACCACGGTGACAACAATTGAGAAGTGTTGCAGTTACTGCAGGTGATACTGAAACCCTACTGCCTCGGTCACTCGCATCAAAGATTGCAGTTTAGATTTCGTGTTTTTGAGTATGGTGATCCATGTTACGAAGATGAATTCACACTGAGTAACATGCACGGTGCATGACACATTTTGCAACAAGAAGTACACTGTTTCCGCATGAAGACATGCAAGGGTATCTTCACGCCTTTTCCGTACAGTTAAGGTGTCCGTCAACAGATGGCCTGAGTTTCGGTCACGTTGGGAAGTGTCGACTTGGGGGGACTGTGCGGCAACTGTCAGATTTCCAAGATCAGAAAAGGAACTGGCGGTGGGTGAAGGGTGCAGGGCCACCGGCGTCCAAACCCACCCTGCTCCCCAGACCCGATCACATATCCCTCCACCTACCCAACCACCGTCCAAAGGCAAAGCAACCACGGCCAGCGCCCAAGTCGTCACTGTGGCCAATCCGCAAGGACGCATCCCTTTTGTTAGGACGGTGGTGGCACCTGGACCCATAAATGCGACGCAACATCGGGGAGTACAAAAAAAAAGACGATAACAAGGAGACGAAAACAATCGAAAAAGGCAAAAAGGAAGCGGCAATTTCCGTGGAGACGTCGCTGGCCCCCGACGCACACCCAAAACGCACAGCGCCCCCGCCCACCTGCGCAGCTGCTCCGCGTGCGCCCACCGTCCCTCGAACACCGCGTCGCGCACGCTGCTCCTCCCGCGCGCCGCCGCCATCACCGGCGCGAACACCGGCTGCAGGTCCGTCGGAAACCCAGGATGCGGCCTCGCCACCACGTCCGCCCCCAGCAGCTCACCACCGGGCACCACCGCCAGCCCGCCCGCCTCCCCGCGCGCCACGCCGCACCCCATCCTTTCCAGCAAACCCGCCGTGGCGGCCACATTCTCCGGCTCGATCCCCAGCAAGCGGATGCCCGATCCCGTGATGGCGCCGGCGGCCATCAAGGTCCCCGCCTCGATCCTGTCGGCCCTCACCGACGCCGACGCCCCCCCCAGCTCGCCCACCCCGTCCACCACCACCTCACGGCTCCCCGGGCCGCTGATCCTCGCCCCCATCTTTCGCATCATCCCCGCCAGGTCCACCACCTCGGGCTCGCGGGCCGCGTTCGAGATCACCGTGCGGCCATCCGCCAGCGCGCCGGCCATCATGACCGCCTGCGTGGCGCCCACGCTGGGCAGGCGCAGGGCAACGTTCCCCCCCCTCAGCCTCCCATCGCATCGCGCTTCCACCCATCCCGAATCATGATCCACCGCAACGCGGGCGCCGAGAGCCCGCATGCCCGCCAGGGTGATGTCGACGGGCCGGGGGCCGATCGCGCAGCCGCCGGGTAGGGGCATGCGGGCGACACCGGTGCGGGCGAGCAGCGGGCCGACGGCGATGAAGCTGGCACGGAGGGAGCGCGCGGCAGCGTCGTCGACGGGGTGTGGGCGCGACCGGGCCCCCAGGCCCGCGGCGCAGACCTGGGGGGTAGGGCTTCGTCAGGCACTGCACGAATGAAAATGAACGAAAAATAAATGAAAAAATGAATGCAAAAAAGGATAAAAATATAATAGAAAAAATGAATGAAAATACGAATGCAAAAGAAAAAAATAGAAAGTCCCACGTGCAGATGTGTCACGGATCGCAGAGCGCCCCGATACACTTCCAGAGAACAACAGGCCGATCGTTGGGCAACCCCTCTTGTGCAGGTCTGTGTGATACTCTTTAGTGTGCTGCTGAAGTTTCAACTGCGGAAAGGGGGAGGGGAAGGGAAGCGGGGGAGGTGGGCACACAAAGAAAAGAAGTTGGCTATATAGATGGAGCAGGTGGCAGTGGACGGGTGTGTGACGGGGAACGGGACCAGAGGACGAAAGGACAAGCAATTTAAAGTATTAAGATTGGAGAGACGTGGGCATGCGCTGGCGATCTGCCAGGCATTCTACGGGATGCGTGGCGGGAAAATCTGCTCTGGCAGCCAGCGCGATGGCTGTTTGGACCCATTGGACCGTAGGCTGAGCTGAACGTGGGATCTGTGCACTCTCGGCATGCTTTAAATGGGAGCCAAGTTATGTTTGCAAATGTGAGGCCTTCTGATTTGATGGGTCGGGTGGCAGTCTCTCTGCTTGGGGCCCATCAACCGCCAGCTATCTTGTGTTGCGCCCATCGCCCATCCCGTGTGGATTGTGTTCGAATTTGGATAGAGACACGCATTGAGTACCGGGGTGCAGCAATTTGGTTTTAAACCAAGCAGACAGCAACTAAGGCAGCAGCCATGAGGTTTGCTTCAGATTCGAAAGCACGAACTTTTCCCGGGGGCTTAACGAGCCAACATCTTATGTGTGCCAGGCAACTTTTGAAGTGTCTTGAGCCATCCATCACTGGCACAGAAAGCTTTGCCATTTTGGCGATGCCCACTGTGATGCCATTTGACACTTTTGATGCCATGAAAATGGCATTGCATCTGGCATCGCAAAAAAGCTGTCTTCTGCTATTGTGCCGGATGGACCAAATCCCCTTCGTCCACAGCGCCCACAGCGCCCACATCCCCCCTCACCTGCAGGCATCCTCCCCTCCACTCCCACGCCGCCCCCAGCGACTCCACCAGCGCCAGCATCTGCCGCACGTCGCCGATGTCCGGCACGCCGCGCAGCGCCACCCTCCGCCGCGTCAGCAGCGCGCCCGCCAGCAGCGCCAGGGACGCATTCTTGGACCCGCTCACCGCCACAGTCCCGCTCAGCCGCCGTCCGCCTACCACGATCAGCGCCTCCCCCCCCGGCTCCGGGGCGCCGGGCGCCGAGAAAATCTTAGGCGACCCATTGTCCGCGCTTGAAAATGGATCGATCTGATCGATCCGATGGATCCGATCGACCCGATCGGCGGACGGGCGAACCTTCGCAGACCGGCGGGGAACGGCGCGTCTGAAGGAGGTTCGCGGCGACAGGGGCCTGTGGAGGGCGGGGCGGGCTTCGGCCCGGGCGGCCATCCCGACGCGGGTAAAGGCGTCGCGGGCGGGGCGGTAGGGCTGAACGTGCTGCCAGCAGGACGTCTTGCCCATTTCGGGCAGTTTCTGATTGTGCTGATATGTACGGCAGTAACTAGTCCGTCATTCATAGATGGTTGTATGACTACAAAGGGGCACGCCCGTCCGCGACCAATCTGTAACTTTGTTCCCTCAGCTGTGTCTCCAAGCCCGTGGCCGTCCCTGCCTCCGACATAGTCCCACCCCGAACCCAGCGCAACAGTGTTCAACTTGTGTTGAAAATGGGACCAAATTTCGTCGCCAACCGCGAGCTGGAAGTTGCTTCTGTCGCAGAGTGCTACCCTACTCCACACCTGTAGTCCGCGCGCGTCCTGTGACTGGCCCTGGGCTCACATGGGCTCTGCCTTGGGCCCAGTGTTGGGCCCATTACCAAAGATTTTATTGGGAACGATGACCAGAATTACAGTGGAAGGTGGGCGCAATGCGCAAAGACATCGCCAAAGCACTAGCGCACCTCGCTCCCCGCTCCCCACACCCCCTGGGCTCGCACCGTCCTGCCTACGAGCGACCGTAGCCTTCCCGCCCGGGCGCTGCCTTGTCTCCTCTCCCGCCTTCTCGTGCTCGGTTTTCCCAACCTCTTTCCCTCCCCCCTCCGCTCCTTGTTGCTGCCCTTCGAGGATCGAACCGGCGCCTGAAGAAACGGTGCTGGGCCCGGCGACGCCAGGGGGCAGCCCAGATCCCGGCGGGCGTCTCTCCGCGCCCGTGTCGCGCGGCGCCGGGGCCCTCGCGGAGGGCAAACTGCCGCCATGACGCCAGGTTGGCTCATCGCTCCACGCCCACCTCAGCGATCCAATCGATTGCATTCAGCGCGTGCGGTGCAAGGCACCGTCGGCAAGCCAGTTTGCAAGACAGTGGCGGGCATGATTCCGTTTCGCGCGCCCCTCTGCCGCCGGCCTGAATGTCCAGCTCCGCCTTGCGACGGCGCGGTGCTCGTCACTCTTTCAGAAAAACTGATACAAACAAGTGTTATAAAGTACCCATCCTGGTGCCACTTTTTGGTCCAATATGTAATGCTGTCGCACTGGTCCCCCGAGGCCGCGGTTCGCCTTTGTTTGTTATATTAGCTTTCCTTCTCGCTGTTGCCAATCGCATGGGAGAAGGGATTGACACAAGGGCGGGAAATCTCCCCCAGCGCTTTCTAATCGATCCGATGGGACTTTAGCGTCTTCAGAGATCGGCGTTCTGGACATTTTTATATGCAGACATGTGCCCAGCATCACCTTGCGTGTGCAAGGGCAGCGTTTTGGCGGTTGTTGGCAAAATATGACCAATGCACAATATGGAATTGTTGCAATAATGGTGCGTACAACAAAAATCAACTTGCGAAGGAAAGCCAACACCTTGCACACGCATCTATCCCAAGCTCGTAAACCTTCTAAGGTGCCCACAACGTCAACCCTCATCCCCTGAATGATGCCAAAAATTGCCAACCGAAATGCTGCTGCTGGATGGTTCAAGTGCCCCGCATTGTCTGTCAAAGAGAAAAATAAACAAAGAAATGTAGCAACCCAAGATGCAGCTGTTGCTTCTTCCAAGCGCACTAAGAGTCATTTCATCATGCCTTCCCCTTGTCACAGGGAGTCGGAGGGCTGGGTGGGGATTGTGCTCTGTATTGTCCTTGTATCCTTGGATGAGAATTGCTGCCACTTTGGCACCTACCCGCTTGTTAGGACTGATGGAAGCAGCCATGCTGTCCAACATTTGTGCACTTTGATGTAAACTTGTCATCGTCAGTGATACCCTGAATCAGAGTCAGCATGTCGCTGCCATGCCAGCCTCACAAATCGGTATTAAGGACAAGTTTGGTTGAAAACCCAGCTGGGCAGCCACTCATAATATGCATCTGCAATGCGCATGCATAATGCAGCATGTTGTGCACTGTGCACATGCAAGGCATGTGAATTTTCAGTGCATATGTGTGATATGCATGTGCATGTGCAGTGCCTGTGCGTTTGCCAGCACAGTCCGCTGCCCCCTTTTAACCAGAAGGAAATCGAGTCTTGGGAACTGCTGGGGAATGCAAGGCTGAAGATCAAGTTTTGTTCCTGCATTATGTATATAATCTTACCATGCAGCATGCTTGCCCAAACAATTGGTGGCTGGTGGATGATATGCAGCACCACAGTCATGTTGAGAGATGCCCAAATTATCATCGTCTCCTGGGTTGAAAGGTTAATGAGCGCCAACACAGCTGTGCTCGTAGCAAGCCTGCAAGATGAGATACGTCGTTGCTGTGGAAGCTGATGGGATCTGTTGTTCATGTGCGTCTTGCAGTGCAGCGCTGCTGCTTGATCCAAGGAAAGGCAGTCCATGCGATTCTTGTTCCCTTCCCTTTTTCTCTTGGTTCCCTTTACCGCCCTTCTTTAGCTTTGACTACCAATTCCATTTTCCCGTGCGTTTAGGTGCGCCATCGGATGGCAAGGACCTGCTGACCGGGTCTTCCAAGACCAACATGAACCTGGCAGTGGTGCGCACCCCACCAACGGCACAAGCCTGTTGACGCCTTCCGCCCTAAAGTGCTGTGCACTCATCCTTTCACATCGGAGGCTCTACATCAACTTTTCACAGCATGGAAAAGAGCCTCGCATACACTTGCCCCGGAGGAGGCGCCCTTTGTATGTCCTGTTTCTCTTTCTTTTCTGCAACAAATCTTGCCTTCTCCCCTAAACTAAACAAAGCCAACCACCCCAAGCGAAGTCACACTTCACTCAGCTTTACACATCAACCCACTGACCCACCGAACCGCAGCGCCACTGACATTGACCCGCCAACCCCAGTCTTTCGCTATATCATCACTTCGCAGCATGGAAAAGAGCCACGCATGCACTTGCCTAGGCGGGGGTGCCCTTTGCATGACCTACTTCTCTTTCTTTCTCCTGTAACAAATCTTGCCCCGTCTTTCTCTCGGCGTGCAGCTGCGTCGGAACACAGAAGACGTGAGCATGTCTCTGGACAAGTTGCTGCAGACGCTGCAGTTTCAGCCCAACACCGTCCAGTGGGGGGCCATGCTGGACGAGTTCTCCGTGGCCAACATGAAGCTAGCGAAGGTCAGGGAGCAGCTGCGGCCGATGCTGAAGCACTACGCTGTCCACCCCACGACGCTCACGCAGCAGAACGCTGAAGGTGGGTGGGTGCGTAAGCGGTGGGTTAGGTGGTGGTGGGGGGTTGAATTCTCTGTGGTATGTCGTATATACATGCATAGGAATCGAATGAAGAGTTTTAAGGGTGTTTATGAATGCCTTTAGGACAGAGAACGGGCGCAGCGCTCAGTACAGGCCGCCCTGGCTTTGTGCCCACGTTCAGCGCTTGCGTGTTTGGAACCTCTGGTTGCGTCATGATTTCATTTGGAATCATGGTGGAATCTGGCTTTCGTTTGTGGTATGCGGTGGATTCCATGAACAAATCATGGACGCCGCCTTTCAGGCAAAACAAAAAGCTGACGGCTGCTTTCTTGTCTTGACATGGAAGTCTCATGAATCAACGATTCCGTTGTGATCACGTGATGGGTCAATGTGAGTACGGACGCCCACGAGGGGCTGAGAATATCGCGTCTTTGTTGTCTATTGAATCGCTCACGAGCCTCTTGTGGCTTCACATGTTGGAATTCGGACGGTGCAATGTGGGTTGAAAAGCAAGCGGCGAGGAACGTGCCTTGCCTTTTGCCAACAGCGCAGCTATGACCCCGCAGCTTAGACAGGGCCATGAATGGCAATGTGGCTGTACAGCTTGCTTCCTTCCGAAATTCACACCATTGTGATCATCTTTTGTTGAGAATTGACACATGATAAAGTAAGGCCGTCTCGCGAGGTTTCGTTATGTTGGGAACTGGACTCAAGCTCATGCACATGTTCATTCTCACACCACCTTCTCGTGCTCGCTCCCGCTCAGTCCTCAATACTGCCGATTGGCCATAGCCAGAAGTCTGCGAATTTCACATTGCATGCAGCGGTGGTGCAGCTTTGCTGTCCTATTTCCATCAGTACGCCACCCTAGGGTGTTAAGCAAACAGAAACGAATACGGCATGGTGCAACGGCTACAATGGATGTCTTCTCATTCCAAACTACTGAGCGTTATGCGGCACTCTGGACTAGAAAAATGGCGCTTCATGCGCGCAGTTTTCCCAGCAAAAGCTACTCGTACCTCAACACACACAGTGTACACGCACTGTGGGAGCTTACACACATGTAAATTTTCCAGTGCGACATCGTCAAATACACGCCTTACTGCCGGCCGCACTATGCGCGAATGTGTGCAAATTTCACGTGCCTGAGCGCCGTTGTACTTTCTCCACCTGTACCGGCTTGGACGCAGTGGTGCCGCTCCTCCTGGCCACCAAGCTCCTTCCCGAAATGGAGGAAGAGGAGGCGAGGATTCTGGGCGAGCACGGCGGCGCGGCCGCGAGCTCCACTGTGGAAGGCGGCCAGTTTTTGCAGCTTCAGGAGAAGATGGACAACCTGAACGGCATCGTGTTGTTCCTGACAAGGGCGCAGGAGGAAGCCAACTCGGGGCTGCTGGACCCCAGGGTGGGTTTTCTTCGCTGCATCTTGACCCTGCAGCCTGGCTTGACGGATTTGTTGTTCCAAGGCGTTGCGCAATACTTAAGTTATCGTTTGAAAATCGACGAGCAAATTTTGGGCGTTTTCCCATGCGAGAGTCTTGTTTCTTCAAGGCCGCGTCGCGCTCAAAGGTGCAGGCCCTTTGGATTTGCTTGTCGATTGAAGGACAACGGGCCAAATGGCTTCGAGAATTTTCGCGATGCATTAGAGGATTTGGGGCTGCTGGAGCCAGAGGTGCTTCTGCATTGCAGAACGTGATTTCAAGAATAGAATTCAAGCCCGCTGGGCGCCAGGACGGCCTTGGGCCGCTCGCGCCCACCGTCCAAACGCCCGCGAAGAGCAGCAGCTGACGGAATGTTTCGCGGTGGATCAAAACGCGTCTGGACGTGTTGGCCGCTGAGGTGACAATCCCCCAGAAGACCGACCAAAACCTGGAGGCCGCGGGTGCCTTTCACTTTGCGTACTTCGACGAGTGGTTGCGCCTGCCAGTGTTCGTTGCGGTGACTAACGTGGCCATGGAGACAATGAGACCACAGCTGCCACGGAGCTGCCTCTGCCGGTGCCCCACTGCCCTGGTTGTGCGGTGTGAATCGTTTGGCATTTTTCGAAATGTGGCAAAATACCCCCAGGGCGGTGTCAATCATGAGTCTGCATGCACACAGCCCGAGATTCGAGCACCGCATTGTTCGCGGCCACATCACCGTGTTGTGCTATCGCTCATGTTATCCCATGCGCTCTGTTATTGCATATTTGGGTGCCTTCAGTGGCTGAGAGAAAGTGGGAGAAACACTCTGCACGTACCGCGGAGGGGGCGTGACATGCAAAATGGGAACCTTCGTAATGAAGGGACTCCAAGTTGGCGGAAAACTCCCTTTCACCGCATATTGCTTTGAAATATGCGCAGGGGACCGTCAGGTCGAAGATGAAGGACGAGTCCCTGAAGCTTGGCAAGGCGATCGACAAGGTGAGGGAGAGGCTGCAGGCGGCGAGGGGAGGGGTCATCCTCGGGCAGCGGCACGCCAGGGGGAGGGGCGCCGCCAGGGGGGGCTCCAGGAGCGGCAGGAGCAAGAGCCAGTCTGACGTCATGCTGGCTGCCATGCTAACGGGAGAGGGCTTGAGGGAAGAGCAGAGGAGGAGATGGGAGGGAAGGGGGGAGGAGGAGGAGGATATTAGGGGGGCCCGCTGATGTAGGACGACGGAGTACACAGCGGCAGATTACAACGGAGCGGAGTGTCTCTTGGGGCTCAGCCCCCGAATGCAAGGTCGTACATTGACGTCATTGACTCAGTGGCGCATCAGCGCGTGGTTGATGGCGCCCGCCGACCCATGACCAGCGCCGCCCTTGCATGCCTGTGGGGAAGTGGCGGCCACACGTCCAGCCGGCCAGACTCTGCTCTGGGGCCGTTTGTTTGCTTCACTTGACATGGAGGGATAGATGGAGCCAGGGCAGGGGCGAGAGACCGGGGCAGGGGTCTTCCTTCCGCTTTGTTTGTTTCTGATTCTGAACTGTGGCGTCAATATTAGCGGTCCAGGTGCAGCCCAGGTTATGGCAGAAGGGGTGCGGACCGTGTGCTGGAATTGCTGCAGATCGTGTGTTTCAGGGCATGCAGTACCCACTGGGCGACCAGAGCAGGAGAGGGGCACCAGAATACGGTGTTGCGATGATTCTCGTATGGGCTTGCGCCATGCGATGGGCATCCCCATCCTGAACAAGATGCTCGACGCTGTGCTGCACGCTGTCAGAGACAGTGTGGGACCTGTCGATGGCAGCAGGAAATCACCGCAGCGATGAGCGGAGCGAATGAACAAGTCCTACGATGAGGGAGAGAAGTCTGAGCATGATGCGAGGGCGGAATGCGAATTCTTTAAGGCAGGACGAATCACGCAGCATACAGACCCGAAAGCGTGAACCCGCTGGTCGTGAGCGCTCACTTCCTGTGGGAAGAAGCGTGAAGGGGCGAAAGAGTGAGAGTGACAGAGTGTCTTTGCAGGGCAGTGTCGGCCGGGTGGCGTTGTTCGCGACGGGCAGTGGTTCCTTTGCCTGGGCCACGGCGTATACGCATCTCAACCAAAACGATCCTTGCAAAGCCCGGAGGGCGACCAGCACAGGGGCCACAACAGACGGGCTGGGCGACGATATGACGCTGCCAGGAGGGGTGCAATCGTAGCAATACGAATTGATTCCAATCATTCGCCCATGCAGACGGGCCGCGCAACGCACACACAGCACGCAATGCAATGCTTCACATTATTTGACTGAACAGCGCGCAAACGATGGGCAATTCGCCGAGGCTGGCACCCCCCCTCAAGAAAGAGTAGCCTTTTAAACACTGTCAATCGGTCAGCCCTCCAATCCCCATCATGAGACAGCACCAGGCGCCGCCCGAGTGCTGCCCGCCCACACAGCGCACTTGGGCACGCCGCATGGCTGCCACCTCTGCGCCAGACGAATTGGAGGCACCCCGGGGCTGCACGCCCGTGGCCGGCCATGGGGGCCCTCCCACGTCGCCCAGGAGGACACCGGCTGCTCCACACAGCCTCGCCCTGCCAAACAATGCTCTCCTCGAGCCCGGTCTTCTCGATCGCCAGTCAGCCTGCGGCACCTACATCGCCATGGGACGTCCTCTGATCCTCTCCCCACCCCACCCTGGATGTGCCTGCCCGCCCTTGCACGCATTCCTCATATCGCCTGGATGCTCTGAAAGCGGGAGATGCAATAATTCGGCCTGGTCTCCACTCCTGCCTCGCACCCTCCAGCCCAGCATGCCCCTGGTTTGATGCCCAAAATAGCAGGAACCCCATCTCGATCACTGATCTCCAGCCATGGCGCAGCGCATCCCTTGTGCCAAGAGACTCCAAGAGCAATCGCCCGCCACCCAAACATTCAGTGTCGCTCCACAACGCCCACTGCATCCACAGTTCGGCCCCACAATCGCCGGGGGCCCCCCCTCAAGAAAACTGGGGAGCAGCTGCATAGGGCATCCCCCCTCCATAGGGCACGCCTCCAGCGCCCATGTCCATCCCAGGCTGGGGAACGCCAGGAGTCGGGGGTGCCGGGAGCGCAAGGGGCATCAGGGTCTGGTAGGCGTTTCGTGCGGCTTCTTGATCGCGTGCCGTCTGCTCGTCCTGCCTTGCCTGCTCCTCTGCGTCCCGCCTCTGGGTCATCAGCATGTCCACCTTGCCGTGGTATTCCCTCATGACCTTTGTCACACACACGCGCACACACCATGTGAGATGATGGATTGGGTGAGCGCCCTGGTACGTGGACCATGATGCACGAGTGCCTGGACGAGGCGACGTGTGACAATGCCTTGTTGAAGGTGCACACTAGGAAAGGCACTTGTCTTAGTGTTCTTTCTTTAAGGATGCATTCACATTCACATTCATGCACACACAATCAGCCAGCAGTGCCACCTGAGCAGCAGCAGACAATGATCAGGTTGGGATCGGCAGCAGAGCCCTTCAACGTGATACTTGGATTGGCGTGTGGCGTTTCGGAATAAACTGTCCACAGTTAGTTTCGTTCTTTAAGGATGCATTCACATTCACAGTCATGCACACACAATCAGCCAGCAGTGCCAGCTGGGCAGCAGCAGACGATGACCAGGATGGGATCGGCAACAGAGCCCTCCAACGTGATACTTGGATTGGTGTGTGACATTTTGGAATAAACTGTCCACGGCAAAGTCTCTTGACAGCATTCGCCTCAGCAGGACAAGACGACACTTGCAAAGTAATGCCCCGCGCCACAATTGAGTGACCCATTCAACTTGCATCCAGTATTAATCACTATCATCGTTAATAGGTTGAAAGCGTATGTTGCTGAGCATAATGTACGGAGCTCATAGCAACAGGAATTCAATCAAGCTGATGCAGGCAGCAACACATGTGCAGCCCAAACATGTGGAAGGCCCGCTGTTTGCCTCGCCTGGACCACATCAACCCCATTCGATCACTTGTTCGGTGATCGCAGACGGACGATCCCCCCTTCTACAAATCTTGTACCTCCATCTAATTAACCCAATTAGCCGCTCTGCCCTTTCCGCAAAGATCATTTCTTGTTTCGGACACCCTAAACCACTGAACCACTGACCGGCGTTGGCCTTGGCGGAAGAAGAAGGATCTTCACTGAAAAGACAAGAGGGACTAGTACATTTTCGCCCACCTGTATCATGTACGGCATCGCCAGGTCTGTCAGGCCGTTCATCCACGCCACCTCCATCGCCACGTCTGGCTTGATGAGGTCGTAGCACGTGTACAGCATCGCAGCGAAGCATTCCCTCTCCCGCTCCTCCACGAAGAACCTAAGCAGCTCCTCTGCCAGCTCCGCGTCCCCGCTCTGTGCGCTGGTCTCCATCGCATCCTTGTACAGCTTGTCCTGCTTGGCCAGGGTCACCGCCTTGCGCCACTTGAGGTTCTTTTTGTACACGTAGGCCGCTATCCGCCTGAACTCAAGCAGCTCGTGCTTCTCCAGGCGGCTGGCCAGGGCGAGCTTGTCGAAGTTGTCGTAGGTCTCTATGCTGGACCGCAGGCCCTCGAAGTCCTCCTCCTCGATCAGGAGCTCGTTCACGGCCTCATTCACCTCGTTGAGGTTGCTCTTTTGGACGGTCAGGAGGTACTCCTTGCCCACGGGCACGACACCCGCGCGGCGCAGGATGCCCACCACGCGCGTGTGGTCCAGCCGGGACTCCAGCACCTTGAGCAGGTCCGTCAGCAGGTCGGGGTGCTCCTCAAGGTAGAAGCTGATGGCCTTGTAGTACACCTCGACGCTGTTCACCTGCAAGGGCGGGGGAGCAAGCGCGTTCGGAAGGAGGCTTGGGTCTTTTCACTGGTCGCATGAACATTAGGAAAAAGGATTGAACGCATATTAAATCGTGATATGCATAACTGTTGGCAGTGTTAGCACAATGAGTGCAAAGAAAAGCAGTGCCTGTGCCTGCAAACCATGGGCGGACAATCGGCACAAAACGGAAAAGCCAACTGGCCCCTCTTGTCACACATGGCACACAACAAAGCACAATTTGGCAGAAACATGCCAAGGCCTAGAAAGGATAGTAGATAGGGCTCCAAATGCCTGGTATCCACGCCCGACATCGACTTAAGGATGAACGCAGCGCCCTTGTCACGCTCTATCTATCATTCCAGATACTACTGGTCGTAATCCTCAATTTCAATAATGCTGCAATACCATTCCCCAGTACAATCCATCTGTCACATTCATATCACAATATCCTGACAATTGTCGTCAGAGACGACCCCCAAACCCCCACCCCACCTCACCCACCTTGCTAGCAACATCCTTGAAGGACACATGCTCCCAGGCGTCCGGCGAGTGGCTCATCATCACCATCGCTGCATTGTCGTGCTCGTCATACTGCACGTACAGATGAGTCAGCTCCTTCCAGTGCTGCTGGTCCTCGCACACGCGGATCAACCTCGGGATGTTCAGCCGCGTGGAGAACAGCTTCAGGTGCTCCATCAGCTTCTCGGGCTTGTACTTTGCGTACAGTGTGCCCAACTCCGTGAAGATGCCCATGTGGGCGCGCTCAAGGCCGATGCCGCTCTCCATCAGGTTGATGAGCTCGTCGAAGTGGCCACGGGACTGGTAGTACTCAGACACCTCCTCGAGGTCGTCCGCGTTGATGATGATGTTCAGGCCGCACAGCTGGGCCAGCCGGAACTCAGACTCCTCCACGCAGGCATAGCACACCTCCTTCCAGGTCTTTGGCGAGTTGGCCTTCCGTGCAGCGTCCACGGCATCCTGCAACCACGGCACGAAAACAACAACTGGTGCGTTCAGGACCGTGTGCAGCAGAGTCCGCAAAAGCGATTCAGGAGGCAGGGGAAGCCTGTTTACAGCTCGACATTCTCTTCAATGCTAGGCCACTGGCCACATCGAGTCCCAAAAGGTTCAGTATTCCCTGCTGAAGAGCCAATACATGGTGCTATGTGCAGCATTAGTGCAGCCAATGCAAAAAGAAGAACGAGGGCAGCAACGGTGCAAGTGAACCTCCGAGTCAAGAGCAGTGGCGGGCAGCCATTCAGCCATTCAGCCACAGTCGTCGGCACACACATGCCAGAGCCAAAGGAGCAACAACAACCATGAATGGTGTGTGAGCATGTGATGAAAACATGCATTCCGATGTCAACCAATTTCAAAAGCTGGGCTCATTTCTGCAGACATTCAATACTGTCCATTTCTTGCAGCGCCTGAAGTCAAAAAAACCAAGAACGCCTCAGGTGCCCGCAGTGACAGACGGCCTCACCTGGAACCTGTGAAGACGGACAAAGGTGGAGGCAAGGCGTCCCCAGTTGGGTATCCTGGCGTACAGGATCCGCGCCGCCTCGTACAGCCCCTCGTTGAACGCACGGTCACCGCACGACTGCAGGTTGGCCTGGTGCGAGCCCGTGATGAACTCCTCCAGAGCCCCCAGCTGGTTGATCCTCGCGTAGGCGTAAACGAGCTCTGTGTCCACCTTGGCGTCCTTCACCTTCTTCCTGGCCATCAGCAAGTACTTGACCAAGTCCTCGAAGCACTCGGCGTCTTGGGACTTGTCGATCACTTGGACGTATTTGGAGGCGTCAGCGCCACGCAGGTACGATGCGATCGCCTCGGCCACCAGACCGTGCTCCAGCTGGGAGTGCGCAAGCTCAGACCACACGTTGGCCTCGTCGATCTTGGTGGCGAAGTCCATCGCACGGTCCAGGTCCTCCATGTGGTCCAGCAGCACCTTGATCGCCTCCACCTGGGGGCGCCAGGGGAGTAGTCAGGTAAGCAGACCAGACAAATGGGAGAAGGGCACCATCTGCCTGCCGTGACTTGTACTACGTGCCGGGCTAATTTCCACAAGGAGCTGCACAAAGTTGTGTGATGCATCGCATCACTGCCTTGTGAATACACCAGGCACAACCACTTCTCAGGCATGTCAGGGCCATTGCCCTTGGCAGTACCTGTAACCCAAAGATCAATTCTGATGACTACCTGTCGATGCAGGCATTGTCATCGCAGAAAGACACACATCGGCAAGTGCACGCCTTCCCCATAAGGTGCTACGTACAGCGATTCGCCAGTCTTCGACAAATGCAGTCCATGAAAAGAAGTCCATTTATGTACAAAATTCGTCTCAGGCATTGATGCTTGAACATGAGAGTATTTGTATGGTAACATGGGTCAACAACAGTGCACTAATCTGTCCTTGCCCCTTGCAAACTATATCAGCAGGCCCCCAAACAAAAAACAGAGAAAAAAAGCCTCACCTTGTACGCAAACTTCTGGTAGATCTCGAATGCTTCATCGAAGAGCTCATACCCCACAGCGATTTCCGCGACCGCAGGGCCATCGAAGTTGTCTAGCCTGTGGATGTAATCCTTCACACGCGTCTTGTCAGCCTTGATGGCCGTGATGATCAGCAGGTTTTGCAGGTTCGCGTTGTTTGAGAAGGCTGAGTTCTGTAGGACGATCTTCTCCAGCAGCTCGATGAGCTCGGACTGCAGATCAGCGGCCATGAAGGCCTTGACTGTGGTGGACACCTGTTCAGGGTTCTTGGACTCAGGAAGGGCCGTGGACACAACCTGGTCGATAAGCTGGCGGCGGTTTTCGCGCTCAGGGTCCAGCACCTTCGTCCACAGGTCCACATCCTGGCGCTCCACGACATACCTGCAAGAGCACAAGGAGGCGTTGGTCGAGTTTCAGCAAGAGCAACTGAATGCAATGCCCGTCACAAAGACATGCAGCAGTAGCGTTTTGGCAAACTTCTGGCTGCAAAAAGTATTTGAAGTTAGAGTGCAAGAGTCGTATTCGCAACACAAGTGCAACACAGTGTGGGAAATCGAGTTGTATCGCACCAATGGAAATGGCCACAATTCAGTTGAAGATGACTGCATGCAAGGCGCAAAGGGAGGCATCTTATCATGTGTCAGCAAGCATATGATGCACAATCTCAACTACACACTGAGAATCCAAAGAAAAGCAGAGAACTGTCCAAACAAAGATGAAATCCAATTGCATCGAACGAATCTAGCTGTGCCAAGCGAAATGCAAAGCGTGTCGTTTCCATGCCCCAGGGCAGTGTCGACCTGCTGCGTCATGCAATCGGAATGCACAGCACAACCAGTGGACTGAGCAGCGAAACTGATCAACACATCGATCAACCCTTTGCCAAAGATGTTGCTCTTCGCCTTAGGCTGAGCCATGGGTTGACAGATAGCCTGATTGGTTGATTGCTTGATGGCTGACAGGCTGGCTGCCAGCCTGCCAGCCTGCCAGCCTGATAGCCTGATATGTTGATGGTGGACTGAATGCCTGAGGGCCTGAAACAATTATTGACCAAGGAGCCACACAGCAAGGGTTGCACCTGGCCTGCAGCTTGAACAGGGAGTTCCTGGTTGTGCACTCCACCAAGGCATCGTCGCACTGACCCCGCTTGTAAGCCACGCATGCTAAGTTGGGGTCCCTCTTCTCACAGTATTTGCCCACCACCAGTGAGTCATAGTACGGGTTGGTGGTGAGGAAGTGCTCCGGGTTGTTGTTGGTGTCAATGATGACCTTGGCAATGGCGTTGTGCACATGCACGTCCGTGCTGCCCTCGTTTATGAGGTGCTCCAGGAAGGGGGTCAGGATCTTGAGGCGGTTTCGCTTCTCCACCTCTTCCACAAGGCTCTCCACGGGCAGCAGGGCCCGCACCTGCCACAAAAACCATGGATTGTTGTTACAAGACCTTGCACAATTTGGGCCCCGGGTGGTACATGGAGATCCAATGCAGGGATTTCAGTAGTGTCACAATAATAAATATTCCAGTTGATGTCCACACAGTACTGCATATTGTCATATTGCCTGTTTGTTTGAATCGGTGTCAACAGCAACAACTGCAAGCAAATGGGTCCGATCCACGCAGTCCAAACATTTCTTCTTGAACATGCTACATCACATCGTTTTGGGAACAAAAATGAAAGTAAATCAACCGTGCTTTTGGTGACAATTTGCACCAGTGAACGCTGCATTTCTCAATACAAATAAATACTCACTGTGTAATATGCAGAAGCAACCAATATCTATGTGTGCAAGAAATATGCAATAAATGCAAATAACCACCTTGTGGGCCCAAGGGCATTTTGCACTTTATCATGCCTTGGCACACATGGTCAACCAAGCTGACTGATGCCATCAGGTTGCAAAATACATGCAACAATTGTAACAAATCTGCAACAAATGCATTGATACAGGAAGCAAATAAATAGCAATGAGAATGACACAAGAGAAAGACACCCACCGAGATAATGAGGTTCGTCACGAAGTCGTCTGAGGCCTCGGCATCCAGGAGAGCCCCCACAACCTGTGGGGTCTTTCCAGGGTTGACCTTCTGCACATAGCCCTCAATGAACCTGAGCGCACATAGCCAGTGCCAATGACAGTTACGTGTTGTCATACATAGTCTATAAGTCAATAGTATATTGATACTAATGAGAAATTGATATGTGAGCCCACATCACTGTATTCATTCTCACTGAACTGCGTATGCCCAAAACAACACTGCATTGGGAACCACAGGGCAATGACGGGCAGCAAAAGCAGTGTGTCAAGCAAATATCAGAGAAACCTCGCTGGTCATACTCAGTGCTATCTCAGTCATGACATGTTGTTTGTTTTCTTTTGTTTTGCTCTTCCTTCCAAGCACTCCAAAATCACTGCAAACTGCAAGTAAAAATAGTGCTGCCATATCTTATGAGTTCAGTGGACACATATACCACAACCAGCGCATAACTTTCACTCTCCTTGCAAGCATATACTCATTCCTTGGCAAAATTCTGATCCTGTTTCTTGTTTTCCCCACACAGAGTGCAAAACTGCTGAATGGACTACAATAAATTTGTGCTCAGTGGTGTGGTGCACATGTCGCTGCCAACTTTTGGCACATGCTTTGACACGCACAACAGCTTGCATATAAGGATACACAAACGAAATCGTCTGTCACTTTCAAGAAATGTGATACATCCCTTCCCTGTTACATACAAGGTGAAAAATTGGTGCAAGGACACATTCAAGCAGATGTTGCCACTTCTTTGCCAGGGTGTATGGCCAATACAGGCGCAAATGTGTGTGATGTGTGCCCATGGATGCGCAACACTACCCAGCAGATGCAGGAGCATTGTATTGGAATTAGCAAAGGTACACAAGGTTCTGAGGTGAGGCGATGAAGAATTCATAAAGCCTGTGGAAAAAGGGATATCTGGCAGTAAAACGACAACAGAAAGCCACGAGGACAACAACCAGCACACTACAACAAGCCCCCAATACTTTAGGGCTTTCAGTGTTTCAGGGTTCTACAGTCTTGTGTTTCAGTGCTGGGGCTTTACAGCATCAGTAAGACAGAGGTACTCACAAAAATTGAACTCCTTCATGTTGCATCCATATTTCTATTTACATACTTATTCACTTGCTTAACTTGAAAGCTATGACAATAACAGCTGAAGTCGACATCGCACCTGAGCATGTTGTTGCTGTACAGGTACTGTGTCAGGTCCTCCACCATGTCAAAGCGGTCACACACATTGATGAGCGGCCGGGCGTCTGGGAGCTTAGCCTCGATCAGGAATGCCTTCACCTTCTCCGGTGGGTACACACTGCTCTCACGGGTCACGCGCTCCACCTGCCAGCCAAAGGACAGCCATTCATGGGCCATATGGACAACAACCGAAAATCCACAAACCACCACAGCAATGGGAAGTGTATTCCGGACACGCAAACTAGATCATCGCTTGGTACAATAGGATTGAACAACTGAACCGACATGACAACCAGGCCATGAAAGCCTTGGATATGGGAAGTGCAAGAGTAGTAAGCAGGAACAAAACAAGAGAAGGCAGATCTGAGCTCCACAGGGCCCTAAAAGCACACACTGCTTGAACCCTGCATCAGTTGCAGATTTCCTGAACTGAGGATCTACGCATCTGCCAACATAGCGGGCAAGCGAATCCGGCACAGCTGCTGAGCAACTAGACAGGAACAGCCTGTGTATTCATAGTTTGGACGAGTGGGTCAACAAGTCACAGCCATGCACACGTGCATGATATGTTTGGACGCATGGATAGGTGGGCATTTCACCTCCTTCAGCTGTCCAATCTTGGATGCAGCCTCAATGTACTTGTAGTGCACATCAGGGTCCTCAGAGAAGGCGATGTGGGCACCAAGGTAGTAGAACAGACCGTGGTAGCTGTTGAAGCTCTCGAACACCTCGATGATCGACTTGGGTGTCAACTGATCTGTGTACTCCTTTGCAACCTGCAAAGTCGCATGCATGTCATTAAGCCCATGGATTGAGCAAAATGACACAAAGATGGTCCCTTGGCTGTGCTCCCATTACTAAATATGGAGCTGGTCACATTGCGCCACATGGGGTACAGCAATTCGTCAGCCTTGAGTACACAAGGTCACAGGCACACCATACACACCACAGAAGTTCATTACATCACTACTCAACCATCCTACGCTAACAGCAATTGGAGCAAGGACTGTTTACAAAACACACAAATGAGCAATCCCTGTAAGCTGGCCCACTGACTGATGACAGAAATGCACAGTTCCCAGTCTTCACACACTCATTTGCCAATGTTGGTCTCAAACAGCTAACAAGCAGAACAAGCTCTACTGCATTTCTGAATGGTGGGTCATTCATTTGTGACTGGACTCACAGTTTGTAATATGCATCGCGACACAAGTACACCACTCCTCATGCCAACTCACATTCACAACAAGCTGCAAGTTCTGCTGGATATTTGTGGTCAGCATCTCCCGTAGGCACTCCAGAGCCCAGTCAGCCGAAAGCGTGCCAAAGTATTGTGTGAGGGCAGCTGGGTCGATGGCGTGGGTGTTCACGATTACTCTCTTCACATCTGGCAGCTCCGTGTAATGCTGCAGAGCCCGCATGTACAGACCAGCCTTCTCGCAAAGCTGCAACAGGAAGACAGCAACAAAGCACATTTTCACTATACCAACAAACTATTCCATAGTCAGTTTTCTGCATGAAACATAATCTTAAGTATAACGAATCGGCTCGCTGCACATAGTGCTGCTGCGCTGCTGTGCTCTAGCGCTTTGGAATTAGATGAAACAAGAAAAGGAAGATCAAAAGAATGCAAAGGAAAGAATGCAAAGACGAAATTGATCGGAAAGGCAATAGTCAAAAATAGGTCCTGACCCAAACAACACTGACCACCTTCAAATCCCTCAAATCCCAAATCTGACAACGAGAAAGGGTAGCTCAATATTATGCATCCACTCCGCTACGACTTCCAGTCACATTATTCACACCCACTGTTGAATCCTGATACACAAAACCTCACCTGTGCAATCCTTGGCCGATCGTAGTGAGAAAAGCTCCCACTGCCCAAGATCGCGTCGCCGACCTGTGGGTTGGTGATCAGGTTGATCTCCAGCACCTTGGTCTGCAGGCTGCCATGTTCGGGTAGGTCAGGCTGCAGCACCTCCAGCAGGTAGGCAGTGGCCTCACGAATCTGAAAGGAGACAGGTCGCCAAGGGTGAGACCAAGGACGCTGGACAGGATTGGCAATTTTGCAAACAAGAAAAAGCATGCACGAGGAAGAATGGCACTCCTCACGGTGGAAATTGCACTGTTGAGCCCTTTCATTGACTCCTACATATCAAATACTTCTTCTGGCCGGAAGTAATTATCCTCCAGTCGAGAGACAAACTTCAACACAAGAATGGCCAAAAAATCACAAAGGGAGTTCAAAATCGGAAAGGTTGGGTCCCAAAACCCTTAAATTGCCAATATATTTTCGATCAGGAAAAGTGAAACACGACCCCTTTAAGCATTGGGCGAACAATAATTTGGTCATTTTCGACTGAAAATTTCGAGGTCTGGTAGGTGAAAGTTCCGTGCTACAAAGTACTGCCCAATCCTCAATACTGAATGAATTGGCTTGAGTTTTTGACTGTATACTCCAAACTCATAGGCACAGCATTGGAAGGAGGTTCATTGAAAACTGTAGCTTCAATGATGTAGAAGTAGGGCACCAAAGTATTGAGGGCAGTTGATTCTGGACAGCAGAAGTACAATCATATTATGCAAAAACAACAAAACAGAACAGCTGCTGTTCCAGTCCAGGTGCTGCCTGCTCCAAACAGAAAACACAGCCTTGTCTGCCTTGGCATACACCATCGCTGGCAAATGCTAACGCAAAGTCAGGTTGCGAGTTGCCAATCCATAGGCACAACATGTAGTGCATCCAATCAACAAAACGAACAAATGGGACTGTTGCCACAGATACAACAACAATCTGGGACGAGCCCAGCCACAGGCGCAGCTCACCATGTTCCGCTGCAGGAACAAGTCGGTGATGGTGTTGATCTCGATGGGCGGGTTGGGCTGCTTGGATATCATCTTGGCCAGAGCCACTGCACCCTCCTGATTGTTCATCATCATGCTCTGCAGCAGGAACATGAAGTCAGGCGTTGTGCCTGTCTGGCCACTGTACTTCATCAGCTCCTCGAAGTCGCCCTTCTCCGCCAGGGACCCAACCACCTGCAGGACAAAAGGGGTCTCAGGACAATCACTGCCGTCACAGTGCTCCCTAAACACAGGCCTGCCAAAAGCCAACTGAAACAGGGCAGTTTTCTTGAGCATGCATTCTGCAAAATACTGCACAACTTAGTGATGTGGCAAGAATGTTATTTTTCAAATTGTCCACAACTATCACACAGTTTGTTTGAGATCACACAGCATTACTACCAATAAATATCCAGCACATGGTCACGAACACAAAAGAAGGGAAAAGAGAGAAACAAGATGAAACAAGCTCTCAAAACTACTTCAGCCAGAAAGCGTATCCATGAACAAACTGGCCAGCGCCTGTCAGTCAACATAAGCACAGTGCAGCCACACGTCGTCCCTCTACTTTTGTGCCCTGGCCGCACCTTCGACGACGTCCCAGCCTTTTGGTACATCGCGAGTGCCAGGTCGTTGTCGCCTGCCTGTTTCACCAGGTCCCCCAACTCCTCGCTCGCCTCTAGCTTGCTCTCATTCCACCAGTTGCTGAGCAGGTCCTTCTTGTTCTGCGCCAGCACGAGACGAGCAAGCTCCACACTCTCAATGGTGTTCAGCTTGCCCTTGCCCAGCAGCGTGCCAAAATACACCAGAATGGGGGACTTCTGGCCAGGCTGTGCGGGGATCTGCTTGAGCTTCTCCATCACTTCAGCTGTACGCAGGACGCCCTGAACAGAGAAGCACGGAAACAAAGTGAGCATCAGAATAGATAAGGAAAGGGAGTGGTGGACGGACTCAGGCACAGCATTGACTTGTCCCCTGCAGGGAATTTCTCCACGGTTTTGACAACTTGCTGCTTCAGCGATCTCGATTCACTCTGAGCGGTGTAACCTACCAGCCCGCCAACCAGACAACCCAACAACCACTACCTGCCAACTACCGTACGCATGGGTAACAATAAGCTATTCCATATCATTGGCCCGCCCCGATATGTCCATGCATGCAGCAAAAACAGGCAGCCACTGTGCATTGAAGGGATCCCCATATATTCAACAAGAACGCACAGGTACTGCCTACATAGCCTGGAACTGAAGCGCAGGTGCACATTGGGCACTGGCTGCCAGGTGTTCATTTTCAATGCTGCTTACATCTCTGTGCTATACTGAGGTCTGCTTGTGCTCAACCCTGTGTGTGTTCAGAGCTTGTTAAGTCGACTGCTTTGGCACAAGGGCAGGCAATGGACTCAGTGATTTGCAACTAAGTTCACCTTTCGGATATTTGGTGTTCATGGAGGTCATAATCAGGACAACCTGTGAGCGGTCTTGTGCCCAACATCTCCATGCAGGTGCAAGGGCTACATTCATTCTTTAGTACAATACATGCAATCAAAAGACTTGCACAAACAACTACAATCCAACTCTGGCGACCACCATGCAGAGGCAGAAAGCACCGAGACTACATTTCACCACACTAACTTCGAGGAGCTAACTGAACATTGACCAGACACTGTCCTCCAATTCTGCCTGCCACATTTGCACCACAGCAGCACTCCTAACTAGTCTGGATCCAATCGGATCGGGCTACAGCCACAGAACAGTCCAAGTGGTACAGCAGGGCCACAGCGCTGCACTGGGTACAAGTCCCTCCACTCTTTTGCGTGTGGCGGGGATCAGGCAGGAGGCACACCTGTGGGGACTCTGCGGCCAGCTCTGCAGCCTCCTTGTACTGCTGGCTGGCAAACAGCTGTGTGAACTGTTGGCCTACAAGCTGGTCGGCCCCAGGGAGGTTGCCCCTCTTGGCAAGCGCAAGGGCCAGGGTCAGGTTGTTCAGGTTTTGGCTCACGAAGTTGACGATAGTGGCCTCATTTATGCCAGCAAGGATGACCTGGCCCCTCCTGTTGTTGTAAGGAAAGCGAAAAGGAGCGTGCAAGACTCAGAACAGCAAGGTGAAGGAACCAAGGGTGGCTTGTGTGTCAATGTTGCGTTGGAAACATGCTGACAACAGGATGGATGCAAAATGTAAGTCCACTGGAGTAATGTCAAAAGCCTGAGCTGTGTGGCACCATGGTCAATGCTGATCCTTTGCAGCAAGCATGTCCTCATCACCTCGTCTCAAACTGCGTATTGGAGTCTAAAACCAAGGCATGTGTTCCCACACAAGGTTGCAGGCGAACGCCTCGCACGACTGGCCCCTGTTGATCGAACAGGATCCACACACCTGTTGATGGCATAAAAACCTCCCGTCCCTGGAGAGTCCGCCGTTAGGAAGATGGGGTCAGGGCTGATCCGGTTCCTGTACACTGCTGTTGCCGACTCGAGGTCATACACAAACAGCATGCCCAGTTTGGTCACCACATAGATCAGCCCATACTTCGCGCTCACTTGCATTGCGACTGGGAAGTCGTCTTGGAACTCCTGGGGAAAGAAAAGCTCGGCCTGGCGTTTGATCGGTGCAACTGCAGCAGCAAGATAGTCCGGTCAGGCAGCCCCAATGGTCTGAAAAAGTCCTGAGTGTTCACCAAACCTGGCCATTGCCTTGCAAACTGTTGTGCACTGTTGATGCCAGCTTCTGATCAACTGGTACACCAGCAACAAGTTTTCAGCAAGGCCTTTTCAGGTTCATTTAGGGGTTTCCAATTGGCTATACAGCGCAAGGGCAGCTTCTCATCAAATTTTCTTGCAAGCGATCAAAATCAGGTTCCAGAATTCAAAACAGGGTTTCAGAAAAGCAGAATTTGACACCAGAATCGGGAATTGAGCTTACTGCAGCAAGAATTCCACAATTTTCTGAGCATTGTGGCGATCGGACAGCACAGAAGGGCAAAGCATCTGGAAAGAGGACAACACACTAGGGGATGCCCACCTCCTGCCGCTCCTCCCAGCTCAATGACGTGCAGTTTGGATAGGATCTGCCCATCTTTCAAGGTCTTCTGTGCAAAAGTGATGGCAGTGCTGGCGGCGTCCTTGCCTGGAAACTGAAGTAGCGACACAATATTCAACACGATGGATGGTTGCTGGCACCTCGATTACAAGCGAACTTTTCTTCTTCATGTCAACAAGGTATCAGAGTGTTACTCACAGCAAAACTTGCACATGAAACAGGGTAGTATTCACTAATGTGAAAATCATCTTGTCTTAGCTGTTGAAAGACTGGCATTAGTGCCATCTCCCTGGTGTTCTATTGCGTTGGCAGGCATTATGTGCAACATTGCTAGCCAGTGGCCACAACATGAGCAACAACCTCTAAAGCTGGAAAATCATCTGCAGGGCTTCCCCTCCAAATCAACGAAGCTGCAGAAGATGCTGTTGATGATCATAATACCATCAAGGTGACACTGGTACATTGGGACCAGGGAGTGCTGCATCAGGTCATGATGGATGCAACCAAAGGCGAATTCCACAAGCAGCGGTACAGGAGGTCAGAGAAAAGTCTAGATAGGTGTGGCTGGCACCCATATCAGCGACGGGATCTCCATAGCCTGTGGATGCAGTGTGTACCTTCACTGTCGAGAAGTCAGCGGCATGTGCCTCAAGGGCCTGGCTCCTCTTCTGGTCCACTGAGTACAGCTGCATGAAGCCCTTCACAAGAGCAGGCCTGCACAGCAACAGAGCATGGTTTTCTCCTTGCTCTTTTCCATGATGCCAACTCCAACGGCACGTCCTTTGTTCACACAGATGCTCAGCCAAATACTGCCAAGATGAGTAAGCCAATGAGTGTCTCCCTGCAGTGCTGTTCACCATTGTCATGCGTCTGGAATACTCTGGTTCATCATGGCAAGGGAGGTGGCCTGCTATGTGCAGACCTGTCCAGTTGTCCAGCCTGATGCCATGGTGTGCTGGGAACTAGACTGCCTGACGATCTGAGTTCATAAGAGACAAGGAGACATGACCAGTTTGTTGTACTCTTGGGCTGGTTTCCAGGATACATTCTTTCTAACATATTATGGCAGGACTCTTGATTAGAGTGTTTGTACAGCAATAACTACATGTCACTCTCATGGATCAAACATTTGGGCTTCAGTTCGACTTTCACTTTCTTGCAAGGTCGCCAGCCCACATCGCTTCTGTTGGGACAGGAGCAGCACCTGGGCTCTCAATGCCACGCAAAATTTCAGCAAGAGAGTTGCATGTTTTAGTGTTGTTGTCATTAACAATCTTGTGTCTAAAACGCCAACAGAAGAAAGTATCATGCCCACAAACCTTGCCGGCATAACTCCAACAAGTCAGGAACTACAAACCCCACTCTGAATGCGCATGTGCTGCCTGAAGGAATGCTTGGGGTCATCCTCCTCAAAATTTGGGGATCGTGTCTCACACTGCAAGAGTTGTGTTGGAAACTCCAGGCACACCAGGATAAGCAGGCAAACTGCTTTTTGCTTGCAAGCTGCACGCTGTGCCTAATCGTCACTAACAACCTATGCAAGAGGAAAGCAGGATGCGTGGTCTGGCACGTTAGTGCCTTCAAACATAAGTGCCCAAGTGACTGGTATGCAGCTTCAGGCAGAGAGCCCATAGCATTGCTAGAAGGCTGTCTGGTGGTGCCATAAACTCTCTTGTTCATCGTGCAAACAAACAGCAACCCCCCTGACATGGGTGCAACAGCCTTTACCAGCGAATGACAGCCACTTGCCTTTCAGGGGCGCCAGGGGCGATGCCGATCAAGACACACCACTTCTCAGCGGGGTCCACGCGATATTGAATGATCTGGGTGTTCGCCAAATTGGCTGTCCTGTCAAAGACCTTCACAGGGTCTGCTGTGCCCTGTGTGCCAACACGTGACTGCTTCACTACAGATTTCACAACTGCCAAATGAACTGAAAAAGCCACCACAACGGAATTCCTCACGCTTCAGGTGCAAAATCTGTTTCCAACCACACCGGTCGCTAACAATGGAGAACATTCGCTTCCAACACATGCCCAGAAAACAAATCAGAGAAGCAAAACAAGGAAGTCCTGATACGAGGGAACGTTTTGAAACCCAGAACCAGTATCCAAACACACAGGACAAGACATCTGAAAACGACGAAAATACAGCAAAAGCCAACAGCAGAGCCGGCAGAAAGCAGAACCCACCTCAAGGTCCCAATGGTACACTGAGCTGACAGTGACCAGACCCAGCTTGGTGGGAGATATCCACTTCCAGAACACGACCGGCTCGGTGGTGGTGTAGGCCTTGAGTTTTGTCTTGGTGTCCAGATCGAATATTTGCAGGCTGTTACCCGTGGCAGCCGGCTGTCCACTTGCCTGCTGCACCGCGGCCTTCAGGGCGATAACCTTCCTGGTGGGGTTCATCACGGCAGAGTCTGCAGTGATAGGGCGTCGCATCGGCTGCTGCGGGCTGGCCATGTCCACGATCAGCAGATTGTTCTGGGCACCCGTCTCGCGCACACAGATGAACTTCTCTGACTCCATCGTCGTGTTGGTGAAGGTCACGTGCTGCAGGTTGACCCCCATGGAGGTCAACTGGACACATGGGCCAGAGAGGGTTGTCAGGAGTGGGGAAAGTGGCGTGGGGAAAGGGCTGCTTTAGGAACGTCTGCCTTGTGAGCTGCCTGCTCCTTTTCAAGTTCGTGCAAAGGTAGGGCTGAGCATTGAAAACGTCAAAGCTGCCCTGCAAAGTTCTCGTGTTGATCGCCACCTGGGTGCCCCCAGAAAGCCCAACAGCAACGCCATCAACTGGATCCCACCCCAATTGCTCAGATCAATGCGAGTCTCAACTGCTTTGAACAGATGTTGTGCAGTGTGGACACGGCAAACCGGGAGCAATCAGACACACTCGCAACGCAGCAGGCCGGATCCCAAACTTTCAATCCCAGTGCAGTTGCGCTGGGCGTGGGGTGTGGTGGGTGTGTGCCTGTGTGCTGGGATGTGGGCCCTGCGTACGGGAAGGGCGCATGAGTTGGTGGGGTCAGTGGGAGGATCCTGCCCTGCAAGTTCCCATTGCCAGCCCCAACACCGGCACAGGGTCCCCCCCCCCCCAAGCGGAGGACACCCACCGAGGTGCAGCGCCCGCCAGGGAGGCAGCCCCGCGCCCCGGCGCCACAGCACGGCGCCCGGGGCGCCGATCACCCGCCTCGCGGCCGGGTCCCGCCTTTGGAGACCCGTCACACGGGGACGGCAGCTTCCATGATGCCCCACACCGCGCCCGGCCCCCTCCGTCCAACATCGTCCCCCCGGTGGCCCGACCCCGCGGGCTCGAGCCTCCGAACCCCCAACGCCGACGATGAGGCCCCCCACGCCCGTCGGGAGCCGGGAAATCCACCGAAAGCCCGCCAAGGATCGCGCGCAGCGCCCGCGGCAGCGGTGACGGGGCCTCGTCGCCGACCGTCCCGGCGCCCCTCCCCAACGGGGGATCCATGCGGCGCACGCGCCCACGGCGTCCCCCCGCGCTGTGATCGAGCCCCACCCCACCCCTGCCGCTGGGCACGCGCGGCACGCTTTTCCCCCGTTCCCCCTCCACCGCCCCTGCGCGGGACCCCTGGGCGGGCGCCCAGCCCGCGGGCCGACCCCCTTCGGCGCAGCGTCGCGATCTCCGCGGCAGCCCCTTCCCCCTTCGCGCCATGTTCCCCCCCCTGCCGGGAACATTCCCCACATCCCCCCCTTTAGCCCCTCCCTGCCCACGCGCAGCACAAAACCACCTTCCAAACGCCCGCACCCCCCCCCCCAAACCGCCCCGGCCACAATCCCCCCCTGGGGCCAATCTAGATCCCCGACGCCAGACAAACAACCGCAACGAGCGAAGGCCGCCGCGGACAGCCAACCCACGACCGCAACGCGCGAAGTTCCCGCGCCCCTCCACGCTCGGCACTCCTCCCATCCACAACGCCCTCCGATCGACCCCTTCCCCCCGGCCCAACGCCCCTTGCTCTCGCGGCCAATCCCCCGGGCGCCCATCGCTTCGCCGGGCTCCGCACCTGCAGCACCTCCTTCACCACGATGGGAGCGTTGGCCGACATCTCTCACTCGCTTCCGGCGAGGCCGCCGCGCCCTTGATGCGATTTGCCTGCGCGCGCCCACAGCACGCACAACACACACAGACCCCAGATCAGCGAACCGCACGCCGGGCGCCCTTAGCCCTCAAAAACAGCGGCTGGATCGCATCGCGGCGGGCAGGGAGGGGGGGCGAGGGGGGCCGCGCCCGGGACTCACCGCACCGCCGGTCGGACGCCCCTCGGCTGCGGCTCTCGTTCGTCAATCAGTACTGGGGGCGGGCGGAGGGAACCGGACGGCACGGGGGGCCGTCACGCCTTTCCAAGGGGGGGCGCACAGCGACATGGGGTAATGACGGTGTGGTAATGGCTGGTAATGAGCCCTGTTTTTTCCTATGAAATGGGGTGGCGGGGGTGGGTTGTGTTGAAGTTGGCCATTTCCAGGCCATAAATGACAGGGCAAATGACTTCATCAACTTCATCTCCGCAGCATCTACAGGCAACATTTCCAGCAGCACCACCCGACCGACATTAGCTACTTCATCAAGAACATTTTACAGCTGAACATAGCGGCAGCATGAGGAGCGATCACCAGGCGACAATCTGACCAGAAATGTGCAAAGTCAAGCCGCTCAGCGATCACAGTTCCAGAACCAGCTCCAATATACAGTCTTACTACCCTACATGACCGACTACGCATCAACATGCAAGGTTCCGTCCGACTTTGACGCCCGGCGGCGGGATAGCAGCGTCTGCTTTAAGCCGTGGCTGACAGGTCCGACGTCAAACGCACATCCAAAGACGCAAAAGCGGCCAAAGCGCACAGCAGCGCTCCCCTGCATTCTGACCATCCTGCACAGCGAGCCCCGCCTCCCAGTCCCACTGCCTGGCAGCTCGTTGGCAGTTTCCCGGCAGCCATGACAGCAGCGCGATTCCGCCAGGTCGAAAGCTGGCGCTTTCTGATCGCCCAGTGGCTCGCCTTCGGCGACCTCTGGCTCTCGAGATGGTATCTCGAGAGAGCGGACTGCCCGGAAGGGTATTGGAGCTTCGGGCTCACCGTCATCCTGCCGTTCAGCGCTGAGGACGCGCAGTGGCTGCATCACCAGCGGGATCATGGAGAGGATGCCTTACGCTATCAGTTGCAGGAGCAGGCGCGCGAGGCGTACGAGCACACGGAATCAACGCAACTGACGTCAGG